AATGTCTTAGTTAGGATTGCACTCGATAGTCATTTATTCTCTCTAGTTACACTTTTTAAGAAAAAAAAAAAAAGAAAAGAAAAGAAAACTGACTTAAGAGTCAGATGAGGGGCAAGAGAGATGGCTCAGTGCTCTTCCAGAAGACCTGGGTTCAATTTCCCAGCACCCACATGGCAGCTCACAACTGTCTGTAACTCCAGTTCCAGGGGACCTGATACCCTCACACAGACATACACACAGGCAAAACACCAATGCACATAAAATAAAAATAAATTATAAAAAAAGAGAGTTGTAAATAACATGTAAGATCATTTCTTTCCAATTAATATATTGTATATTTACACACATAAAGAAACAGAAGTCATGAGGTGTTTTATTTATAGATTTAGAGCAAAAATAGAATTGAAGAGATGAGTGATAGGGTAAGAGGGAGATCATTTTACTGTCAACATTTTTAAAACATTTTGACTCGAATGTTACTTGGAAATTTTTTATAAGAGTGTTGAGGGGTGGCAGTATAGCACATTGGCACACTTGCCTAGCAAGCACAAGCCCTAGCTAGGTTCTACTATCCCTAGTACATACACAGAGATTGGTTGAGATGATGTCAGAATTGTTACTTCAAGATAAGCCTGAATTACATCATGGGTAGGGAGGGAAGATTAGAAGAGTTGTTTGTTTCCTCTCTTTAGGTTAGAGCGTGGGCCTGATAGATGTGTTAATACACAATGGCAGTGAGGTTTAGCTATCAGAATGCAGCTTTATCTGTTACGCAGCTTTTTTTTTTGGTTTTTCGAGACAGGGTTTCTCTGTGTAGCTTTGCGCCTTTCCTGGGACTCACTTGGTATTCCAGGCTGGCCTCGAACTCACAGAGATCCGCCTGGCTCTGCCTCCCGAGTGCTGGGATTAAAGGCGTGCGCCACCACCGCCCGGCTCTGTTACGCAGCTTTTGAATGAGATTGCAAGTAGAGCTCCCTTCTCCTTTAGTTCCCCTTGTATCTGTGATGATAGGAATAAGAGGAAAAGAGTTTGGGGTTTGAGCTAGATAGTTTTGTTTAATCTCTATCTCTTAATTAACCTTTTTTTTTTTTAAGCTTCTGCAGCCTCCCTAAATTTCCATTTCTTTTATCAAGTGGGATATTTGATAATATGTACTTTTATACATTTGCTCAGTGTGAAGCATTTAGTACAATTTAGCACATGACTGAATAAATAATAATAATTAAGTGATGTGCCATGAGGTATGTTGTATTTGGATTTGGAGGGTGTTTAAGGGAGTAAAGTACTGTTAGCTACAAAACCCATACCAGCAAAAAGGCACGAACTGATTTTGTGTGGAATATCTGCATGGGATTAAATTCTTAGAAAAGGTAATATAGAAGATACTTTATTAATTTAAAAACATTGTAACATTTGTTTGTCTGTGAATATATGAGTGTGCAAGTACCATGGTTTATGTGTGGAAGTCAAGACAACTAAGGAGTATGTTCTGCTGATTAAAGTCAGGCTGTCAGACCTGGTGGGAAGCACCTTTACTTGCTGAGCCACCTCTGGCCCACCGTTTTCTAATGCTCAGCTCTTACCTTGAATAGCTCGTCTTCTAAACACTCACCTTCTTGTTCTTTATCTTGGAACGTGCTATAAACATGTTTCATTGTGGCACTTGACTCTTTTTTGATTTTTCGAGACAAGATTTCTCTGTGTAGTTTTGGTGCCTGTCATGGATCTTGCTCTGTAGACCGGGCTGGCTCTGCCTCCCGAGTGCTGGGATTAAAGGCGTGGGCCACCGCCGCCCGGCGGCATTTGACTCTTAATAGTTCTGTCTATTTTAACATCCAGGTGACTTCTCAAATAGTAAGTGGTAATAATTTAACACAAACCTGTTAGGTACTCATTATTTTTTTTTAAAGATTTATTTATTTATGTATACAGTGTTCTATCTGCATGCATGCCTGCACACCAGAAGAGGGCACCAGATCACATTATAGATGGTTGTGAGCCACCATGTGGTTGCTGGGAATTGAACTCAGGACCTCTGGAAGAACAGGCAGTGTTCTTAACCTCTGAGCCATCTCTCCAGCCAGTACTCATTATTTATGATTGAGTTTTATTTAAAGTAATTATGTTATAGAGGTTAAAATGTAGGCAGTTTCACGATTTACCATTTTGTGTTTATGAAAGCCATCTGAGCACATGCAAATAACTGATTTCAGTGTGTGATGTTTTGTTTGCAAGTTTTGTTTTAAATAGTGTTTATAAAATTAAAAAAACCTGTGAGTCAGGTGTGGAAGTAAACACCTGCAGAGGTATAAAAGAATCACTGCTAGCTAGAGGCCCATCACACAGTGAGTTGTTCCAGGCTGCACATCTTGTCTTAAAAAAAGAAGTTAATTTGTTAATGGCCTAGTAAGCTATTAATAATTTTTAATTTTTCATTTGAATTATCTAGCAGCATATTTTTTAAAACCAGGTTTGCATTTTGATAGGCTGATAATGACATGCTGTGATTGTGATGTTTTGTTATGTTCTCTACAATTAATTAAGAATCTGGTACACAATAGGATTTGTAAATATTTGTTGAATGAGTGGATAAGGTTTTTAGCATACCGAGTAATAGAAACTTTTCTCTCATCAACAGTGGGCTTGTGTTTGAGGTTGAATAATTTCTTTTTTCTTTCTTTTGTTTTTGTTTTATTGTGACAGGGTCTCACACTATAGCCCAGTCTGGCCTAGAACTCACCATGTACTTTGCAGTGGCCTCAAAGTTGCAGCAGTCCTCCTGCCTCAGTCTCGCAAGTGCTGGGCTTACAATTCTGAGCCACCATACTTATCAGTATTGAGAACTTTCAATAAAATGTGAATTACTTGTAATTACTTTAAAAATAAGATGTAGTGGATAATTTTCTATTTAATTACAAGTTGAAATAATATTTGTTTTCATATTTGTAAGCATACTACTGAGCATAATCAAATCATTAATAATGTGTAATATTATATTATTAGTCACTTTTTTCATTCATAAAAACACCTGGTATACCAGATGTGGCGACACACACGTTTAACCGCAGCACTGAGGAGACAGAGGCAAGGGTTGTCCTGCAAGTCTGAGGCCAATGTGAACTATGGTGAATTCCAGGCCAATCTGGGCACATAGTGAGGCCTTGACCACCACCATTGCTTTACCCTCCGCCAAATAAAAACCTAAAATTATTGGTAAAAAATAAGTAATATTTAAGATGTTTGGAAGACTGGAGGTGTAGCCCATTTGTTGGGGCACTTGCCTAGCATTTGCAAGATCCTGACTTAATCTCTTTAAAACAAAAGAAAAGAAATGTATTAAAGGTTTTAGGTTGGGTTTTATAGTTTTAAATTTTCTAATAGGGCGGGTAAGGTAGCTCAGAGGGCAGAGGCTTACTGCCAAGACTGACAACCATAGTTTAATCCTTGGGACCCATGCATTAGGAAAGAACCGATTCCTACAAGTTGTGTTCTTTTTTTTGGTTTTTCGAGACAGGGTTTCTCTGTGTAGCTTTGCTCCTTTTCCTGGAACTCACTTGGTAGCCCAGGCTGGCCTCGAACTCACAGAGATCCGCCTGGCTCTGCCTCCCGAGTGCTGGGATTAAAGGCGTGCGCCACCACCGCCCGGCCAAGTTGTGTTCTTACTTCGACACCTTTGCCATAGTGTGTGTGTCCTTCTCCCATGGATAAATGAGATGTAATTTTAAAAATGTAAATATTTCTGATATTTAGCTTTTATCTCTAACCAAAAAAACAAAGAATACGCGAGGAAATTTAGCTATGTGTGCGGTCTAGCTAATTGTAATTTTCTGGTCTGTAAATTTGAGGATTTAAAAAAATCTTTTGAAGTAGACGTTTTAACCATCCTGTTCTAACAATACACTATGTTTTTGTTTTTGTTTTTTTGGTTTTTCGAGACAGGGTTTCTCTGTGTAGCTTTGCGCCTTTCCTGGAACTCACTTGGTAGCCCAGGCTGGCCTCGAACTCACAGAGATCCGCCTGCCTCTGCCTCCCAAGTGCTGGGATTAAAGGCGTGCGCCACCACCACCCGGCTAACAATACACTATGTAGCAAAGAAGTGAAGGTCATACAATGAAAATTTTTTTCTATTAGGATATAAAACTCTTAGCAATGTCTAAAGCTTAAAAAAAAATTTAAAAACTGCATACAGTCTCCTTTATCTTATTACTCCCTCCAGCTTTGATAAAGTATTTAAAAGTAGTGGAGGTTTTTGGTTAAAGTTTGTTTGTTTGAGGTAAGTGTGAGACTTACCTCAAATTTGTTAGGAGCTAAGGATGCTCTTTAACTTGTCCAGTGCTAGGGATTGAAGAGCATTGTGCATCCTGGGTAAATTAGAAAAAAAAAAACTGCTTTGTTGACTTATAACTTACATAAAAGCACGTACCTGAGGGTTCAATCAGTTCTCACAACAGACCCTTGTAGATCAAGAAATGGACTATTATTAGTTTCCTTAAAAAGGAATGAGGGTCAGGTGTTGTGACTGTCTTTAATCTCGGCACTTGGGAGACAGAGGCAAGTCATTCTCTTCTTGGCAGCAAGTTAAAGGCCAACCAAGACTATAGAGAGCTTTGTTTTGTCCTACGACTGTTTTTGTCATTTGTGTCTCTAAGAGAATGAGTTCTTAATTCCAACCTCCTGTAGACTTCAAAGGTCATGCCTTTGGGCAAGCTAATTCATCCTTCTTGGAAATATGTTCCCCTCTAAAATGGAAGATAGAACTGATTCATTATCATAGTTTTTATTTTATAAAAATGTAAAAAGATTATTGTGATATTAAAGAGATATGGAAGGCTGTAGAGTCAAACAAAGTTGGACTTACAATTTCTTTTCAACAGGTTAATTGAAATAAAAAAAAAAACAACAGATCATTCTAATTTTTTTCCTTTCTCTGTTTTCCAGGTTATATTTCACACTATGTGCTGACTGTATCTACAGAAGATATTTAAAAAAAAGATAAACTTTTTTCCAAGATTTTGATTCCAGTGGAATCTTTGCTTTAGATTGTGTGTGTGTGTGTGTGTGTGTGTGTGTGTGTGTGTGTGTGTGTGTGTATGTGTGTGTATGTTAGTGAATTGTAACTCCAGAAGCAATGCCTGTACAAGCTCCACAATGGACGGATTTCCTTTCCTGCCCAATTTGCACTCAGACTTTCGACGAAACAATTCGAAAGCCCATCAGTTTGGGCTGTGGCCATACTGTCTGCAAAATGTGCCTGAATAAACTCCACCGTAAGGCTTGCCCATTTGACCAGACCACTATCAATACAGACATTGAGCTCCTTCCTGTGAACTCAGCATTACTGCAGCTAGTGGGTGCTCAGGTAAGACAGTAACTTAATACTGGTTATTGTCTTTCCTTTCTCTTCCTTCCTTCCTTCCTTCCTTCCTTCCTTCCTTCCTTCCTTCCTTCCTTCCTTCCTTCCTTCCTTTCTTTCTTTCTTTCTTGTTTTTGGTTTTTTTGGTTTTTCAAGACAGGGTTTCTCTGTGTAGCTTTGCACCTTTCCTGGAACTCACTTGGTAGCCCAGGCTGGCCTCGAACTCACAGAGATCCGCCTGGCTCTGCCTCCCAAGTGCTGGGATTAAAGGCATGCGCCACCACCGCCCGGCTGGTTATTGTCTTTAATTGACTGTTTTTAGTTCTGTGTGTCTATGTTTGGGTGTGTTTATTTTAATGTAGATACAGATGGTTGAATACAGAAATATTTGTAGACATGTATATACCTTGATTATTTGCATATTTCCTTGCCCTATTAGGCAAGATAATCTTTTTTGTTTGTCTTGTTTGGTTTGGTTTCTCTTTGTAACAGCCCTAGCTGTCCTAGAACTCTGTAGACTAGGTTGGCCTCGAATTCATAGAGATCCACTTGCCTCTGCCTCCTTGAGTGCTGGGATTAAAAGCATGCGCTACCACTGCCTGGCAGCCAAGATAATCTTAAGGGCACCACAGTTCCAATAGCAATGTACATACCTCATGTTTAGATGTTGGTTTCTAAACAGTTCTCCAATAAAAGGAACCAGAACTCTTGGGAGAAATGGTCAGTTCTAGGGCTAGGACAACAAGTACTCAAACGAGCCTAGAGTACCTTGTGCAAGTATTCAAAGTGATGAGACCATGTCAAAGGCATATTAGATCTGGTTGAAAGAGCTCCCAATGGCCAAAGCTGGAAGGGTTTGAGTAAAATAAATAGTCATGTATTGACTTGTAACAGAGTATAAAAAAGAGTCAAAGGCTCTATGCAGATAAAATTATAAGTGTTCATTATTCTCTTTTCTTTCTTCCTTCCTTCCTCCCTCCCTCCCTCTCCTTCCTTCCTTCTTTTGTGCCTATCATTTAATTTTATTTAGGAAATTTAAGGTCATTGTCCCAGAGCCCTGATTTTTTTGTTTTCTTTTCTTGGCTTTTTTTTTTTTTTTTAAAGCCTCATTTTTAAAGGATTATTTTTTAAAAAAGCTTATTTTCACTGGGTGTTGTGCTGCATGCCTTTATTCATAACACTGGGGAGACAGGCAGGTGAATCTCTTGATTAGTTCCAGGGCAGCAGGGTTACAATAGTAGACCTTGTCTAAAAACAAAAACAAACAAAAATATTTTATTGTAATTTATGTAACTGTGTGTGTGCACTATGTGTCCAGGTACCCTTGGAAGCCAGAAGAGGTTATTGGATCCCCTGATGTTGGAGTTATAGGTGATTGTGAGCCACCTAATGTGGGTGCTAGGAATTGAATTCGTGTCCTGGAAGAGCAACAAGTGCTCTTGGCTGCTGAGCCATCTCCAACCCTTTAAAAAGTTACTAAATATACCCTATTGTGAAGTGGATTGTCTGCGTAGCTACCATTTCACTATAACCACAGTAACTTTTACCTAAGGGTAAGCAATAAGGACTGCATAGACCTTCCTTAGCTATTTATGTACATAGCATATTCACGTAAGTACGGTAATGTTTGAAAAAAGGGAGGAAACAGCAAAGAAAACATGGTAAAAGATGACCAAAAAGAGCTTTCTCCCAACTGCATGTACACAAGACTCAGGTATAAAGATTCATAAACAGACCCTCTAGGAACAACCATATTAACAGCATTTTAAAATAAAATTTTTAATTAGATATTTTTCAAAAGGAAGGAAGAAAACTAGTGACACGAGAAGGAAGAATAAATTCAGAGACTCTTTTCAAGTTTTCTGTAAGTGTAAAATTATCCCCAAATAAGTTTAAAATCTTAGCGAGACTGCAATTCATGTGGTTTTCAGTTGACTACTGTTTTATCAGCTCTGGAAGTCTGTGTGATATTACCTATGTGATATTGTGGTGAATGATCTTTTGTTTTTGGTTTTGTTTTTGAAGTTTGTTTTCTTTTTTTTTGGTTTTTCGAGACAGGGTTTCTCTGTGTAGCTTTGCGCCTTTCCTGGAACTCGCTCTGTAGCCCAGGCTGGCCTCGAACTCACAGAGATCCGCCTGGCTCTGCCTCCCGAGTACTGGGATTAAAGGCGTGCGCCACCACCGCCCGGCTTGTTTTCTTTTTGATGACACCTTCTTCCTTCCACCGTGTGGGTTCTGGAAATTGAGCTCAGGTCGTCAGGTCTAGTGGCAAGCACCTTCATCCTTTGAGCCGTCTGGATGACCCTTCTCAGATGATGTTTTTGAACTTTAGTATAGTTCTGAAAGTAGATGTGTAATCTCTGGCTTTTTCAGTTGTTTGTTTAAGTAGCACATGTGTTCATTGCTATGATTAAAGAGTGGTTTTGATGGATAACTTTAGTCATACACAATTATTAATATTGGAGAAATCTGGCAAATACTGTCTTAGCCAGGTGAACTGGATTAATGTAAACAGAAATAAGTCATATTGATAGTAGATCTTTGACATGCTGTGATGAAAATGACATTTTTTTCCTTTGTGAACTTAATGCCAAAAATATCTAACCCCAGTCTCTCTATGAGAAAAATAAGATCCTGTCAAATGTCAGTATACAACATACATACCAGTACTGCATAAAACTGAAAATCGTGAAAGCATAGGAAGTACAGGAAAAGTGCCAAAACTTCTGGAATCTTACAAAAAAATATATTAGATATTCTGGATGACATTTTAGAACACTGGAAGGCTACTAGGCAGAAGTAAGGCATTTTGAGAAAAAACAAGATTTTTAGCTATAATGAGTAGTAACATTGGCATATTAATGTCAGTAAATGGATCCTACCAACAGAACGTTATAATTTGGATGAAGTGTGGTGTGATAAGAATTCTCTGAACTGTCTTTGCCATTTTTTCTATAAATTTAAAATGATTCTGTAAAATCTTTTTTTAAAACCAGAAAAAAAAATGTTTAATCTTAACTAATAGTCAGGAAAGTGCAAGTTTAGATAGTAGCATTTCTATTTTTTTTTTTTTTTTTTTTGGTTTTTTCGAGACAGGGTTTCTCTGTGTAGCTTTGTGCCTTTCCTGGATCTCGCTCTGTAGACCAGGCTGGCCTCGAACTCACAGAGATCCGCCTGCCTCTGCCTCCCGAGTGCTGGGATTAAAGGCGTGCGCCACCACCGCCCGGCTGCATTTCTATTTTTTTAAGCTCCTCAGCTTGCCACAAACCAGTGTCTGACTAGTGGTGGTCACGGACATGGAAATGCAGGCCCTTGCGTGTTGCTAGGGAGAGTGCAAACTGGAAGACTCTGGAAAATAAACTGGAAATGCACACAGCCCTGTAACTATAGCAGCTGCACTTACAGGTATCAAAGGGTTTGACAGAGGGTTTGAACACATGGAGAGGGAGACCTGTAGAGGAATGTCACCATGTCTCTAAAAGCAACAAATCAGAAATAGCCTAAACATCACAACTGATTGACTGTGTGTGTAGTCTACTGTAAGACAAATTGCTAAATAGTCTTATTAATAAAAAAAAAAAAAAAAACCCGAGCCAGATATTAGGGTCAAAACTAAGAGATCAGGGAAGCAGAAAGAAGCCAGCCACATTCTTTTTTTTTTTTTCCTTTTTATTTTTTTTCGAGATAGGGTTTCTCTGTGTAGTTTTGGTGCCTGTCCTCCCTGTCCTGGATCTTGCTCTGTAGCCCAGGCTGGCCTCAGACTCACAGAGATCCTCGGCTCTGCCTCCCTGAGTGCTGGGATTAAAGGCATGCTCCACCACCGCCCAGCCGCCAGACACATTCTTACCACTAGATATCTTCAGCCAAAGAGAGAGCTACTTCCTGTATACTCACACCTATATCCTTTCTGTCCCTGCCATCTCACTTCCTCTCTCTGCCCAACTACGTCACTTCCTCTTTCTGTATGGACAGACCTTCAGATCTCTATGGTGTACTAGCACTGAGAATAAAGATGTGTACCACCAAGCCTGGCTCTGTTCCCAGTGTGGCCTTTAACACAGAGATCCAGATGAATCTCTGCCTCCCGAATGCTAGAATTAAAGGCGTGGGCTACCATTGCCTGACTTCTATGTTTAATATAGTGGCTGGCTTTTTCCTCTGATCTTCATGCAAGCTTTATTTATTAGAGCACAAATAAAATATCACCATAGTCTATATTGCAGAAATACTATACATTTACAGAGGTTTCCTAAATCCTCACAAATATATGGTGAAAGCCAAAATTAAGATTTAAAAAACAAAACAAAAAAAACTCCAGGATCTTATGTATCGCAGGCTGTCTCAAATTCTCTATGTAACGGAGGATGACCTTAATTCCTGACCCTCTTGCCTTTTTCCCTCCTAAGTGCTGGGATTATAGGCATGTGCTATCATACCTGGTTTATATGGTGCTAAGGATTGAATCCAGGGCTTTGTGCATGTGAGGAAAACACTACCAATTGAGCCACATCCCAGCCCTCAGGTCAATTTTAAAAGCCATCAACAATTTTGGAAGCAAAGGCAGGCAATCTCTGTGAGTTCCATTGAGGCCAGACTGATCTCATAGTGAGTTCTGAGACAGCCAGAGCTATATAGAGAGATTGTCTCAAAAACAAAACAGACCAAAAAAAAAATCCAATGATAAAGTATGATAATACCAGTAATTTCTGTAAATTAACATACACATGATTAGATATTAGGATATACTACTATGCATATTAAATACAGGGAATTAGAAGAGTCAAAAGGAACTCACAATATCACATCAAGAAGGCATTCAGCAAGAAACGCATAGACAAAAAAAATGACATTCCTATTGAATTTTAGAATCTGAATCTTTTATACTGAAATATTTTAAATAAGTTTATGCTGATCCTTATGTTTTCGTCAGAACATCTTCCCAAAGGGCATTGTATTTGAGTGGGAAAACATTTCCTAGGCCTCAGACTTACCGGAAAAATCTTTCCAGGTGTAAATGTTGTGAATCAGAATACTAAACCTTGAGTTAACTTTATATTGAGTAATACATTTGGCCCTGAAAACACAAGTTTTCCTCAGAAGATTCTGATTTGGATGACACATTGAGGTATATGCCACTCTGCACTGCTTTCAGTTGGCAGTTCTACTTCTTTGTTGTGTAAGCTCCCTCTAGTGGCACACAAACGTCTCTACTCCTTAAATGATTCAATTCACACAACATACATGAGCTTCATGAGAAACAAAGGCTTGCGGGCAATCCATCACATTTTACAGATTAGGGACTGGAGAGAGAGTTCATAGTTAAGAGTGCTTGCTGCCGAACTGAGTGCCTAGCTTCCACAACAGGCAGCTCATCTGGCCTGCATACTCACATGGAGACACAACACATAAGGAAAAACAAAGTTTAAATCTTTTTTTGTTTGTTTGTTTGGTTTTTGTTTTGTTTTGTTTTTTGAGACAGGGTTTCTCTGTGTAGCTTTGCGCCTTTCCTGGAACTCACTTGGTAGTCCAGGCTGGCCTCAAACTCACAGAGATCCGCCTGGCTCTGCCTCCCGAGTGCTGGGATTAAAGGCGGGCGCCACCACCGCCCGGCTAGTTTAAATCTTTAAAAAATCAACTTGTTCAGCTGGGCGGTGGTGGCGGCACACATCTTTAATCCCAGCACTCGGGAGGCAGAAACAAGCGGTCTCTGTGAGTTCCAGGTCAGCCTGGTCTACAGAGCAAGTTCCAGGATAGGTTCTAAAAGCTACACAGAGAAACCCTGTCTCAAAAAACAAACAAACAAAAAATTAGCTTGTTCATTTTGATGCGTGATGCTTATTTGGAAGTTCTTTATAATAAAGCTCTAATGAAGGTTAAAATATGTACAGTTTAATCCAAGATATTAGCTTTGGTATTGTCTACAATATCAAGTGTTTTCAGCTTTGGTTTTGCCACCTGCATGTTTTAGTTTAAGTATTTTGTGTTCTATTTCATTGCTGATTCTAACCTCTTCATCCTATATATATCATCTGTAAAATCATGTCGGGTTGTCAAAGGATTAAGTACATATACATTTAGCAAGTCTCAAAACGTTTCTTACATATATATACATTATTATTAAAGCAAGGCTGGAGAGATGGCTTGGTGGTTAAGAGAACTTGCTGCTCTGGCAGAGGACCCAGGTTCAGTTCTGAGTACCTACATAAGTCACTCACAACAATCTGCAGTCCCTTGTGATCCAACACCTGCATCTGGCCTCTTTGGACAACAGGCATGCTCATGGTGCACTTACATGCATACAAGCAAAACACTCATACAGATAAAATAAATAAGTAAATAAATATCTGTGCTAGAAAGATGGCTTATCAGTTAAGAGCTCTTATTCTTTTTGTCTTTTTCAAGATAGGGTATCTCTGTGTAATAGCCTTGGCTGTCCTGGAACTTGCTTTGTAGACCTGGCTGGCCTCGAACTCACAGAGATCCACCTGCCTCTGCCTCCTGAGTGCTGGGATTAAAGGTGTGTGCCACCACCTGGCTAGGAGCCCTTATTCTTACAGATGACCCAGGTTTGGTTTCTATCACCCACATGGTGGGTCACAGCCATCTAGGTGGGTTGAAGCCATCTTTTAACTCCAGTTCCAGGGGATCCAATACCCTCTTCTGACCTCCATGGGCACCAGGCATGCACGCGGTATACAAACAAGTATAACACTCATACACAGAAATCTTAAAAAAAAAAAAAAAAAAGTGTGTTTGCAAGTGCCTACAGATTCTAGAAGAGGGTGTATAACACACACACCCCCAACATTTTACATGCTCAGTATTAGCTGTTACATTTTTATTTTAGTAGTCAAATAGTCTCTCACAAGATGGGCTCAGAGGGGTGTGTACTGAGTGGGTGCTTTGACTCAGAACCAGATGGGAAATAGCAAATTAAATAATGGCAAATGCACAAGATACTGAAAAATTAGTATTCACAGATAAAATGTAAAAGTTCTGGACTAGACGATTGTAAGTCTAATGGGGGACTGTTTAAGCACTAGATGATATTCACTCCAATTGTTTATGTGACATGAAGTTGAAAATGCTGAGTTTTCGATTCTCTAGAATCATAGTTTAGTAAGAGTTAGGTGTGACTAATTCTAGCATCTAGTGGCACTAATGCTAGTGGCATCTAACCTCAATTGGACTTGTCCTCCAGTCAAATACAGAGTACAAGAAGAAGCACAGCAAAATTCCAAAGATGATCAGAGAACACCCTTTCCATGAAGCATGGCCATCTTCTCTAATTCCATTCATGACTAGCCTAAAATTTGATTTCTTCCCCATACACCTCTGGCTGTTGCCTCAATTCCATAACAAATACAATTTTTTTTCTTCAATATTGTTTGAGCCTATATGATAGCTTGTTTTGTACGGAAGAGAACACTGGAATAGGTTAGACATTTTTGCTAGAACAAGCTCAAATTGTGTCAGATGGTTTCAGAGTGGTGCTTATACTTTAGGGGTTTTTTTGTTTTGTTTTGTTTTTTTGGACATTTGTTTATGTGTGGGCATGAGCCTGCCATGGCAGATACTGTGAATTATATAGTATTTGAATTCTCTTTTAATAAGGCTGCTGTGGAAAAATAATGGATATGTATGTACAAGAAAAATTTTTTGAAGCATTTAGCAAATTTAGAAGTTCTAATGTTGGAAGCACCAGGACTATCAGCAGATAAATTGTATTCAATAAAGCATTTAATAAATTAATGAAATACTCATAACTTTTCTTTTGGCCTCCAGATCCCTGAGCAGCAGCCCATTACTTTGTGTAGTGGGGTTGAAGATACAAAGCATTATGAGGAAGCCAAGAAATGTGTAGAAGAATTAGCACTGTACCTGAAACCACTCAGCAGCGCTAGAGGTAAATGTCATTAAAAACCAATGCTAAACAAACAATGGTTTGTTTTTTGAAACAGGGTCTTACTATGTAGTCCTGGTTGGCCTGGAACACTTTATATAGACCAGGCTGGCCACATTCACAGAGATCCACCTGCCTCTGCTTCTCAAATGCTGGGATTAAAGTTGTACCCCACCACACCTGGCCAAGTATCTGTTAAGGATACTTCTCTTGCTGTAAATGAATACTAATGTATGACAGCCTTTCTCTCTCTCTCTCTCCCCCACCCCTTCCTCACTCCCTCTCCTCCTCTTGCACTCTTTCCCCTACTTAGTGTTCAGCACTAGGCATGGATTCTACCACTGAGCTGTCTATATTGCCCGCCCTACTGAATGCTAATGGAATTAATTTATCCATTGTAAACCAAGCCTGCTTCATGCTAAATAGTATTATAAAACACATCAAATAAAGTAGTACTAAATCTAGGGTTTGTGTGATGTTGGAAACAGTAATGACTGGAAATGACTGTATAATTGAATATAACAGTGATTTAGAAGGGCTTTGCATCAATTGACAGTTTTGTTTTTGTTTTTCCTTTGGAAACAGGATCTCATTTAGCCCAGATTGGTTTTAAAGTTGCTTTGTAGCCAAGGATGACTTTGGACTTCTGATCCTCCTGTTTCTACCTCCCAAGTGCTGAAATTACTAGTTTATGGAGGACTGGGAATTAAGCCCAGGTGTTAAGCACACTAGGAAGCTACATCTCCAGCTCTTATTGATAACTCTGAATAGTCCATCTTTGTCTAGTTTTAGGTTGTATTTATAGAAAATGTGGTAAGAAAATGGAAGTTATTATTGCCTTCCAGAAAGGGCCTGCTTACTGTGTAACTATTCAGTAAGATTAACCACTATGAAATAATATACCTGACTGTTAGGAATCAGTATTTGGGTCTAATGTTTTCTGTCAGTTTTTCTTCTTTGATTAAAATGAGTGATAGTGTTTTGAATGTCATAATGAATGATACATACATACATACATACACACATACACATATTTGTTTTTCTTTTAAATGGTAGTCTTGTATAGGTTAATTATTTACTTAGTTGTTTATTTTGTTTTTTTGAGACAGGGTTTCTCTATGTAGCCCTGGCTTCCTTGAACTCTCCCTGTAGACCAGGCTGGCCTCTAATGCATAAAGATCTGCCTGCCTCTGCCTCCCAAGTGCTGGGATTAAAGGTGTGGGACACTAAACTGTTAGCTTATTGTTTACTTTAAATACTATTAATAGGCCCAGGAACTAGTCACAAGTCAACAAATCAGTCACTGTAGAGGAAGTGGTCCTGGATCATAAAATTGCCTGGTAAACCTAGAAATAGCTTCTTTGTTTTCCTCTGCAGGAGTGGGTCTGAATAGCACTACTCAGAGTGTTCTGAGTCGCCCAATGCAGAGGAAGCTTGTGACTCTAGTCCACTGCCAGCTAGTGGAAGAAGAAGGCAGGATCCGTGCTATGAGGGCTGCTCGATCTTTAGGGGAACGCACAGTTACAGAGCTCATTCTCCAGCACCAAAATCCTCAGCAGCTCTCCTCTAATCTCTGGGCAGCAGTCAGAGCTAGGGGCTGCCAGTTCCTTGGACCAGGTATGTAATTAAAGTTTGGTTGTTGCTGTTGGCTGCCCACCCCCACCCTTGCAAGGTATTCTAAAAGTATAGGATAAAAACCCACCCTTGTGTACTGTACAAACCCTTATCTTTTGTTAAATTCTGTTACAAATTACCATTTCATGTTAATTTTTTAGAGAATTCAGATTTTTCTCGATAACTAAAGTTTATTCTTTTTGAAATGTTTTTCTCTATATTAATCACTTATCTACTTAATAAAATACATAAGATGAAATTCCCCACGAGCATGGCTTTAACATGTAATTTTAAATACATTGCATTGCTTGGGTTTTTGTTTTTGTTTGAGACAGGATTTTGCTGTGTAGCCCTGGTTGTCCTGGAACTCAGTCTGTAGATTTGGCTGGCATCAAGCCCAGAGAGTGCTGGGATTGAAGATGTGCACCGCCATGCCCAGCTCATTGTATTGCTTGTTAATTGCATGGTATTATGTTGCTCTTCAGATAATGGATTTGTGTCATCTTTGCTCATGATATACTTTGATTGTACCATTTTCCTAGCAATGCAGGAGGAAGCTCTGAAGCTTGTCTTGCTGGCCTTGGAGGATGGTTCTGCGTTGTCACGGAAAGTGCTGGTTCTGTTTGTGGTGCAAAGACTGGAGCCACGTTTTCCTCAAGCCTCTAAAACTAGCATTGGACATGTTGTTCAGCTCCTTTACAGAGCCTCCTGCTTCAAGGTATGAACCTAAGCTCGAGTTCAGCTTGGAACATTGCCCTTCCTCCAAACTTAAACATTGAACTTGGACTTCAATAAAATTTGCTGTGCTTTTTTAAAGAAGGCAGATTGTATAATACTATAGTTAAATCCTATCATATTATTGTATTTCTTTTGCTTGGTTTTGGTTTGTCAGTTTGCACTGATAGGGATTGAACCCAGAGCCTTGCATATGTTAGACAAATACTCTGTTACTGAAGTACAGCCTCAACCCTTAAATTGAAATGAAGAGACTACTCATCTGTTATTTCCCACTGTGTTAGTTAGGATTTCTACTGCAGTGATAAAACACCATGACCAAAAGCAACTTAGGAGGAAAGGGCTTATTTTTCATATACTTCCACACCATAGTCCATCATTGAAGGAATTCAAAGCAGGAATTGAAGCAGAGTCCATGTTTACTCAGCCTGCTACCTTATAGCACCCAAGACCACCAGACCAGGGGTGACACGGCTCACAGTGAGTTGGGCCTGCTCACATCAGTCATTCAAAAGAATGCACCACAGGCTTGCCTACACACCAGTCTAGTGGGAACATTTTTTTTTTTTCAATTGAAGTTCTATCTTCCCAAACGACTATCTTGTGTCTAGCTGACATGAAACTAGCCAGTACATCCACCAAGAATGTAAGAGTTTGTTCCTAGCTAGGCAGTGATGACACATGCCTTTAATCCCAGGAATCCCAGCACTCAGGAGGCAGAGGCAGGCAAATCTTTCTGAGTTTGAGGCCAGCCTAGTCTACAGAGTGAGGTCAGGGACAGCCAGGGCTACAGAGTGAAACCTTGTCTCAAAAACAAAAAAGAGGGGGGGTGTTGTTCCTCATGTAATTGTGCTTGTACAGTTCCAGACATCCAGTTACCATTTGGCTTTAGTATAAATGATAATGCTGGATGTACTATCTTGTAGTCCAGGTTGAATCTTCACTCTCAAACATCGATGCCCACCATGTGTCACTTATTGTTCATCTGTTTTATTTTCCTATCTTCTTAAAGTAAAGTTTCCTTTCTTCTGATATAGCTAACTATGAGGAAATCCATTCCTGAAATCACCATAATTCTTCAATTTACACTCTACTGAATAGGGGTCTCAATTTTTTGTATGGACTTGTAACCAAAACTACTGTCTCGAGTCCAGATTGTTTCTAAATAAGTATTTCACATTTATTGTAATGGTTAGAAAGAATAATGCAGTTCTTCAGTGAATATAATTTAGACTATATTTCAGAATGTCTGTATGCTTTCCATGTTATATGTTCTCTATCAACCGAAAAAGACAGATACAAATTATAAGAAGTTTCTTAGGTGGAGTCCTTTCCTGGCATGTGTGATACCTTGGATGAGCTAGTATTACAGTCAACTACTAAAGCATTAACAAGTTTTTAAATGGAATTTTGTTGTTACTATTGTTTCTTGAGACAGACTCACTGTGTAGTTTGGCTGGCTTTAGATAACTCAATGATCTTTCGGTTTCAGAATTATAGTTGTATGCCACTGTATCTAGCTATAAAATTTTAAAAATTATATGTATACTAAATTTTACTTATTTTGTACAATGTGGGGGGTCGGGAGTAGGTGGGTATGCATGTGTTACTGTGTTCATATGGAGAAAAGAGGACAGCTCGTGGATGTTGGTTCTCTCTTTTCACCATGTGGATCCTAAGAATTTCATCAGGTCTATCATCAGGTCAGTAGATCAACAAGTCATCAGGCTTGGCAGCAGGTATCTTTACCCCCTACCCATATTGTTGGCCCTAGAAAATTTTAAAGTCTAATGTTATTTAAGTTATTTAGTTATTACTTTCAATATGTACGTATATGTGTGAGTGCATGCCATATTGCATCAGATTCCTTGAAGCTGGAGTTACAGGTGTTTGTGAGCCACTTGACAAGAAAGGATGCTGGGGACCAAACATGGGTATCTAAAAGACTAGCAACTGCTCTTACCGTCTGAGCCATCTCTCCAGCCCGACCTTTAAAAAAATTAAAATTTAAAAAGTTTACTGTGTACATGCCTGCATGCGTGCGTGTCCATGTGCGTGTGTGTGTGCGCATGCACGCGCGCATAGGGACTCCTATGCCGTGGCACACCTATGGCAGTCACAGGACAATGTTGTGGACTTGGTTCTCTCCTTCCACTTTTATGTGGGTTCTGGGGGTTAAACTCAGTTGTCAGGCTTATGCAGCAAGTGCCTTTACCTGCTGAGCCATCTTGCTGTCCTATTTGACCTCTCTCAGTACACTGCAGCTCCAGTATTACGTGGGATGTCTTGAAAGTTCTTGATTATTTTTAGAATGATGAAGGTGTTGGGGATATAGCTCAGTGATAGAGTGCTTATAAAATATCCAAGGCTCTGGGTTCTGTCCTCAGCACCCACAATCCAAATAAAATGTCCAGGGAACCAATGTATCATGTAGAAAGCTTATTCTGCCTTTTTTTTTTTTTTTGTTTTGTTTGTTTTTCGAGACAGGGTTTCTCTGTGTAGCTTTGCGCCTTTCCTGGAACTCGCTTTGGAGACCAGACTGGCCTCGAACTCACAGAGATCCGCCTGGCTCTGCCTCCCGAGTGCTGGGATTAAAGGCGTGCGCCACCACCGCCCGGCTTATTCTGCCTTTTAAAGAGGGTTAGCCTATGGTGAGGAAATATTTTTATACATGTTCATGTTTATTTGGGCTTTTAATTTGTCTTTGGAAAATGGCAAAGTATATTAAGTTTTTCTGACTACAGTACTTGATTTTGTGTTTGTTCACCTGACATCCCAACGAAAGCTTTAGTGAGACCTTACTTTGTTATAAGGATGAAGTTGTTTCTTTTAACACCCACACGGGAGTCTTTCTCTGAAACTCTGTACTTTTTGTTTAATAAAACCCAGTATTGCTTTAGAAAAAAAAAAAATAGGAACACATTTTTTAAACCTTTTAAGTGTGATCTATAATTTCTGACTGTTTGTAGTCTGGAGCGTTTTTTGGTAGAAAGTTCAAAAAAGAGAATTTTCTACTATAATAATATGGGTCCTTATGGGAGTAAAAGGTTAATACAATACAATTTTATTTTTGGCAGTATGGGGAAAACCACTCTGCCACAAGTTACAGTTCCAACCTCCAAATATGTTCTAAAATATCATAAGGAATTGGTAATTCTAGGCTAGAATTATTTTAAGTTTTAAGCCTTTGGCCTAAATCCCTGCGCGCGCGCCCCCCACCCCTCCGACTTAAAGTATAAGTTACTAGGATAGCAATAGCACATATATCAGATGTGCTGCAAGAATTAAAGTGAATTAATATAGTATAATGGTTTCATTAGGTAACTTAACATACCAACTAGCACATACCAAGTGTCTAATAAAGGTAGCTTTTTTAAAAGAATGTTTTTGAGCCGAGCGGTGGTGGCACATACGTTTAATCTCAGCACTCAGGAAGCAGAGGCAGGCAGATCTCTGAGTTTGGGGCTAGTCTGTTCTACAGAGTGAGTTCCAGGGTACCCAGGGCCACACAGAGAAACCCTGTCTCGGTAAACCATATATATGTAAATATGTATGTGGAGTGCAAATATACGTAGAGGCTGAAGGCCAACAAGAGGCGACTTCCCCAGTCGCTCCGTACTTTAATTTTTATGAGGGTATCATTGAACCTGGGGCTTACTGATTGAGGTAGCTGGGTGCGATCCTAAGGGGTTCTGTCTGTCTCTACAGTGCTTTTTATAGACATGGCACTAAAGTTAGGCCTGGCTCCTCCCCTCCCCCAGTTACCATCTGAGCCATCTCTCCAGCTCCCTCCCTGTCTGTCTTTTTTTTTTTAAAGTTGGTTTTTGTTTTTAAAACAGGGTAGGTTTTTATTTGTTTTTTTTTGCAACAGGGTTCTGTAGCCCTCCCTGGTCTTGAACTTGTTTTATAGATTAAGGCTGGCCTTTAACTCATTGTGGTCCTGCCTTCACCCCTGAGTATTAAGATTGCAGGTGAGTATTAACCACATCCAGCTGCAAGTTTTATGATTAAAAGTTATTATTATCGTTGTTGTTTTTGTCCAGCATCTCATACTCTACACCTTTTGGTTGTGGCCTGTTTCATAAAACTCTATGGAGAAATTAAAATAGTTAAAATTAGTCATATTTAAAATCACACTCATTGAAAGCTCTGTTATTAGTGTCAGATAACTTAATACTAGGTAAGCCCTAAAGTTGTGATCTGTATTCTGAAGAAGAAACACATAGTTTTTTTAAATTACACTAATTAAACATTTTCTTATTTTTAAAAAGGCCCATGTACATACATGATAAATTCTATAGTTTCTATAAGAAAATTTTGACCTCTGTGGCTGGGTGTGGTGTTGCAAGTCTTTAATCCCATCACTTGGGGAGCAAAGGCAGGCAGATCTTTGAGTTCCAGGCCAGCCAGAACTACATAGTGAAAACCTGTCTCAAAAAGGGTAAGATTTTTGACATCTATACTGGGAGGTATTTTGCAGGTAGGATAGTGTATCCCATTTTAATCTTGCTATTGCTGCTAAAAGAAAGTTGTTGTTTTGAATTTTTTGTTGGGACAGTGGGTCATTAGTAGTCTTGAGACCCACATAAAGAAGAGAACTGATTCCTGGGAGTTGTCTGTCCTCTGTATGTCTGCTACATACATACAGTGCTTGCGCACATCAAACTAAGACATGCAAAATGAATTATTCTAAATTACTTTTTTTTTGTCTACATGTGTTTATATAAAGTATGAGACTTGTGTTATTAGATTTTTTTGTGTGTGTATCTTTTTAGGTCACCAAACGTGATGAAGACTCTTCTTTGATGCAGCTGAAAGAAGAATTTAGGACTTACGAAGCTCTGCGACGAGAACATGACTCCCAGATAGTGCAAATTGCTATGGAAGCAGGCTTAAGGATTGCACCAGACCAGTGGTCTTCTTTGCTTTATGGAGACCAGTCTCATAAATCTCATATGCAGTCCATTATTGACAAGGTAGGGTCTTTATTGTTCCTTACTTCAAAAATAATTTTGGAGTCTTGATAAGTTATTTTTTTGTAATGAACATTACTGTGACTGGTGTATGTCAGGCTTCTGTAACTGAGATTCAGTGTGGCTTGGTATTGTGTCATAGCTAGACCATCAGAATGACATTGTAAACATTTGGGTAGTGTGCAGTGCCTCAGCCAGTGCTCTCCCATGTCCCTTGTCACTGCCCCTCTTCCTTTATTGTTCTCTTTGAATTTTGATCTCTGTAATAGTTATAGCATATTTCTAGATGTGTTTATTTTTATTTTATGTGTATTGCTGTTTGCATACATGTGTGTCTGTGCTTCACATGGTGCCTGAAGAAGCCAGAAAAGGGCTTTGGATTTCCTGGAACTGCAGTTAAAGATAGTTGTGAGCTACCACGTGGGTGCTGGGAATCAAACAGTATCTGGGAGAGCAGCTGGTACTTTTAACCACTGAGCCGTCTCTCCAGCCCCTAAACCATTTCCAAATGCCTTTATCTAATGCCTTTTAATGAGTGATCTGTTGAATGTATTCCTTGAAGCTTCATGATTCTCACTCAGAATAATTTTACATATACTAAAGTTACTACCTCCCACGGTGAATTTGAAATTTTCAGTGAACCTGTTTTTATTTTATCTACTTGTCTGTTTTGATGTAAAGACCACTAGAAGTGACTGTTAGGTCTAGTTCTATTATTTATATCTAATGCAGAAATAAGTATTTCTCTTAAATTGCAGTGATAATTTTAAGAGTTGTTGCATATCAACCTAAAATGTATGAATGTGGTACAGAAAGTCTTAACATGCTGTGCAATATTATGTTGTATTATGCTAAATAATAATAGTATTTAGTTTTTGCTATTTCCTTAAATACTTAGAATTTAAGTAATGACTGCCAGCTTAAGAGTTCACAGTACATTTAATTTAGAGATAGAATCAAAACCTAAGAGTATTTTAAAAATATTTAGCATTTACTAAATGCAATGTGCCTGGATGATCTTAAGTAATTCATTGTTTCTTTTGACCAAACTTATATTATCCCTTCTATATAGAATCAGAGAAGTCTGTACGCTTTGCAAATCACCTAGGTTATTGTCTTAGTGTTGTATTGCTTTGAAGAGACACCATGATTATAAAAGGAAAGCATTTAATTGGGACTGGCTTATAGTTTGAGAGGCTTAGTCCATTGTCCTTGTGGTGAGGAGCATAGTGGCACACAAGCAGACATGGTAGTTGAGAGTTCTACATCTGTATCTGCAGGCATCAGGAAGAGAGAGCCATTGGACCTGGCTTGGGCTTCTGAAACCCCAAAATCCACCCCTAGTGACATACTTCTTCCAACAAGGCCACACCTCCTAATCTCGGTCAAGTATTGCACTCCCTAATGACCAAGCATTCAAATATGTGAGCCTTTGGGGGCCATTTTATTGAAACCACCACAGTTATGAATGTTAAAGGTCATTTGAACCTTGGTGTGCTGGCTTTAGAATGTATTCTTAACTATTAGACCTCTTCCCACCTAGACTTTGTCTCTTTCCTTGACCCCAAACATGACACTTTTTGAATAACTAATAGATTGATTGAGAATGGGGAATTGAGTTTTATTTTGTTTTTCTGCTTGGTCTATAACTTTCAGTTTGTAACTCTTTCTTGAATACCTTTGTGTTAGTCAGGGTTCTCTAGAGTAACAACTTAAAGAATGAATTTCTCTCTCTCTCTCTCTCTCTCTCTCTCTCTATATATATATATATATATATATATATATATATAGAGAGAGAGAGAGAGAGAGAGAATATATATATATATATATATATATATATATATATATATATATATCCAACAATGGCTGACTATGAATCAAAAGTCCAGTAATCCAATAATTGCTCAGTCCATGAGGCTGGATGTCTTAGCTGGTCTTCAGTATATGCTAGAATCCTGAAGAAGTCAGCTCTAATGCCAGTGAAGGAAAGATCTTGCTACAAAGGAGAGAACAAGCAGGCAAAAAGCAAAAGCTTCCATCTTTCTTCCATGTACTTTATATAGGCTTCCAGCAGAAGGTGTGGTTCAGATTAGAGGTTTGTCTTCCTTCCTTAAAGATCTGGGTTAAAGGTCTGTCTTCCTACCTCAAAGATCTGGATTAGAAGTGGATCTTCCTACTTCAAATTAAGCAAAAATCCCTCACAGGTGTGCCCTACACTTTTGATTTTAGTTAATTCCAGATGTAGTCTAGTTGACAACCAAGAATAGCCATCACAACTTTTAGCTTAATTACTAGCAGCTCCTATGTTGGGACAAAAGCTTGTACCTGTGATTGTACAAATTGTACAACTAACTAGTTATAACTTGGTGAAACCCTGCTAATAAATCCTTTTTTTTTGGAGACAAGGTTTCTCTGTTAACAGTCCTAGCTGTCCTAGAACTTGCTTTGTAGATCAGGCTGGCCTTGAGCTCACAGAGATCTGCCTGTCTCTGCCTCCCTAGTGCTAGGGTTAAAGGGGGTGTGCCACCACCGCCCTTGGACTGAAATTTTGTTGTTGTTGTGTTTTGAACACTGCAAAAGCTTTATTTGTACAATCTTCACAGGACAATTTTGGGGCTGTGTAGTTGGACTTTCTTTTGTGTGGGCAGAGATTTTCATCGGGACCTCTGACCACTTCCCAAATAACCACACAGAGACTTAATATTAATTATAAATGATCAGCTGATAGCTTAGGCTTGTTACTAACTAGCTCTTTTCTTTCTTTTTGGTTTTTCAAGACAGGGTTTCTCTGTGAAGTTTTGGTGCCTGTCCTGGATCTTGCTCTGTAGACCAGGCTAGACTCAAACTCACAGAAATCTGCCTGGCTCTGCCTCCCAAGTGCTGGGATTAAAGGCATGTGCCACTACTGCCTGGCCTAACTAGCTCTTATAACCTAAATTAACCCATATTTCTTATCTGAGTTCTATCATAGCTCATAGCTTGTTACCTCATTGTCTTGCTTCCTCTATGTCTGGCTGTTGACTACTGAGACTCCGCCCTCCTTCCCAGTGTTCTCCTAGTCTGGCTTTCTTGCCCAATCTCTTCCTGCTCAGCTATAGGCCAGTCAGCTCTTTATTAACCAGTGATAATACGTATTTACAGTGTAGAAAAATTGTTCCACAGCACTTTTGGGACCATCAGCTCCCCAATAATGACACTGACATTTATTATTCATTTTGAAAGCTTGGCCTTTAGCTCAGGCTTGTTCCTAACTAGCTCTTATAATTTAAATTAACCTGCTTCTATTAGTCTACATTCTGCCTTATGGCTTTTTACCTCTCTTCTATATTCTGTATGTTCAACTCCCTCCTTGTTTTGCTGGTGTCTCTTGCACACCTAGATTCATCCCAAGTTCCTCTCTGCCCAGAAGTCCTGTCTAGCTATTGGTCATTCAGTACTTTATTAAACCAATCAGGTGCCCTAGGCAGGCAAAGTAAAACAATGGCACATCTTTACACTGTTCACTCACATATCCTGCAACAGGGCTGTACCACTGTGTAAAAACCTGTTCTCTCAGGCCTGTTGCTAAAATGTAAACAAACACAAATCAGACTTATTGGTGACTGGACAGTCCTTTTGTTCCTGTCTCATGTATGACAATTTCCATAGCACTGCAGGCTTCAGCAGTACTGCACCACTCTGGAGAGAAATGATACAGGCTCCTTTTCATCCTCCAAAGCTGCAGCAAATCCTTCCTGTTGCCTCCTCTTAGCTAGAGCAGCCAAATAAAAGTTTTTGGTTCATAGGTGGCCAGGCCCACAAGTACTCAATGCAAGTTGAACTCCCCCTGGCACTTAATTAAGTTGACAATGAATGCTGGGTACTATAAGCCATGTTTCTAGGAGGCAGCTGTAATTTGATTAATCCACAGGGTCCTCAGGTTCCATTTCTTCAGTCTGCAGGCCTGCATGTACTTTGGAAGCTCTGATCACCACCCTGAGAACCAGCTAGTAGCAGTGATTCTTCCTTCCACTAAAGTGCTAAGCATGTTTCAGCACCTCCTGAACCCGCCAACCCTAGTCTTCAAGGCATTTTCACAGCCAGAGCTGTGTAAGGAAGACCATGGTGTGCTCCCAAGTTCCAAGAGGCTGCCATTTGAACTGAATTTTTTTTTTTTTTTTTTTTTGGTTTTTTCGAGACAGGGTTTCTCTGTGTAGCTTTGCGCCTTTTCCTGGAACTCGCTTGGTAGTCCAGGCTGGCCTCGAACTCACAGAGATCCGCCTGGCTCTGCCTCCCGAGTGCTGGGATTAAAGGCGTGCGCCACCACCGCCCGGCGCTGAACTGAATTTTTTAACTAATTAATTTAAGTTTAAATAACCAAACATTACTAAGTCTGTCATACTGTAAAGTACAAATTGAGAATGTATTAAAAATAACAAGGCAGAAGCGGTGGATTGCTGAGTTCAATGCCAGCCTGGTCTGGTCTACACAGTAAGTTCCAGGGCAGCCAAGGCTACATAGAGAAACCTTGTCTCCAAAACAACAACAACAAAAAAACAAAAAAACAAAAAAACCAAGAAAAGCATTAATCATTATGAATACGTGGAGAAAGAAATATGAGCTAGCAATTCACGTAGAAGGTACTTTAGCATATCCAGTTGGTAGGAAAGAATTCAGCCTCAATAGTGATCTGGACATAGTGGTACATGCCTCATTTCCATCATGCAGATGATCAAGAGTTCACATTCAAAACAGTGATTAAAATACATATGCTGATTGAGTCTGTTTATGGTTTTTAGAGTCAGGATTTCTCTGTAGTCCTGGCTATCCTGAAACTCCCTCTGTAGACCAGGCTGGCCTAGAACTTGAGGAAATATGCCTGCCTCTGCCTCCTGAGTGTTGGGGTTAAAGGCATGTGCCACTATGCCTGGCTGATTGAGTTTTATCTTTTAAATTATAAGTATATTAAAACATAAAGGCATGCTAGGATTCTAATGGCAGCTGTGTTAATTCCTTTGTTTTTTAAAAAAAGTTTGCTTTTGAAATGACCTTTTACAGAATGACCTTTTGAAAGAGGAATTAGCTGCCAAAAGAGCTAAATGTTTTCAAGTAAAAACTCATAGCTACTATTATAAAATTATCATTTTCCCAGTTGAAAATCCTTATACATGGTCAGCAGAGGGAAGTTGTTGTTGTTTTGTGACAGTGTTTTTCTATAGCCCTGACTGTCATTCTGTAGACCAGGCTGTCCTCCTGCCTCTGCCTCCTGAGTGCTGGGACTAAAAGCGTGTGCTACCACCACCCAGCTTAGAGGGGAGTTTGTATGAGAGTATGTCTCAAAAGTTTTAGAAAAAAACACAACCTTCAAGAATCCTAAACTAAATCAGAATTTTCTTAAAAATATTTATTCTTTGACAATTTCCTCTTGATTATATTTACTCCAGCTGCCCTTTCTCATTTTCCTTCCCCCTCCCCCAAGATGATGTCTTCCTCCTACCGTGAGATACTTTTTGTTTTTTCTCAATAACCCACAGAGTCTAATTAGTGATACTATGCACATGAGCATGGGGTTATCCACAGGAATATGGGCAACCTACTAGGGGCCACATCCCTGAAGCAAAATAACCCTTTCTTCTCCAGCAGTCATCATCTGCCAATAACTTCTCAGCTAGGAGTGGAGCCTGATAGGCTAGAATGGTAACTAGCTTGATCTTTGTACAGGTAACCATAGCTGCTGTGAGTTCATTAATACAACAGCTCTGTTATGTCTAGAAGACACATTTCACAGCTCTTCTTCCCATCCTCCAGCTTTTACATTGTTTATACCCCTTCTTTGATAGTTCCCCAGTCTTGGTAGTGGTAGTGGTGGTGTGATAGAGATGTCCCGTTTAGGTCTGAATAGAACTTTTGACCAGTTATGAATCTCTAAACTAACTGCTGCCCATGCAGAAAGAAGTGTCTCTGAGCAAGGCTGAGAAAAGCACTCATTGATTTGTAGGTATCAATAAAAATATTAAAGCAGTTTGATGACATATCCATCTAGCAAAACAAGAATAGGTTCACCCATTGGGCCTGTGACCTCCTTGGCCATGGATTTTGACAGGTTTACAATACCAGTTGTGAATACCAGATATGGAGCAGGCTTATGTTCCAGTTTAAAAAGCCTCTTGGTTAACCTAGTAACCTTCATGCCACATTGCATTGATGGGCACCTCTTACCTGGCTGGTTAGCATGCAGGGTCCACTGCTGGATGAGACCATTGTTGGCTTGTCAACCCCAGCAGCCTGCATAGAGCTATATAGCACTACGACAGCTAGCCAAAGGAGGAAAGATACACGTCAGTTCCAGTTTGATTTCTCTGTGTCCTGCAATCAAAATGTAACAGGATTTTTTCAGCTGTCTAGACATTTGAAATTATTTAGACTATTTAATAAATGAAATTCAGTTTGTACGGTTTATATATTTAGTGTCATGATCTTTGATCTTAAGAACTTCAGCTCATTCAGTATGACTGTACTCGGTGGCATTATTCTATCATCTGACATGATTTCTAGATTATACTTCCAAAATTCAGTTATTTGGAAGGATTACCAAGAACCCAACTAAAAGGTGGTATCGGAAGAAAGGCCTCACATTTGAAGTATGTGATAGCAGAGGAAACGGTATTGTACATAGTGTACCAAGCTGTGGATAGAGAAATCTTTTTTTTTTTTTTTTTCCCTTGGTTTTTCGAGACAGGGTTTCTCTGTGTAGCTTTGCGCCTTTCCTGGAACTCACTTGATAGCCCAGGCTGGCCTCGAACTCACAGAGATCCGCCTGGCCCTGCCTCCTGAGTGCTGGGATTAAAGGCGTACACCACCACCGCCTGGCTTGAGTCTGGCCAAAGCATAGATTAGGTGGATAGACACAAACTAAAATTAATAAATTGCAAAAATGCAGGTGTAAATAAACTGTGTTTGAAAAGGGAAATGAATGTTGTCCTTTTTCTTTTAAGTTGCAGACCCCTGCCTCTTTTGCACAGAGTGTTCAGGAGCTAACAATTGCTCTCCAGCGGACTGGAGACCCGGCAAACTTGAACCGACTAAGACCCCACTTGGAGTTACTAGCAAACATTGACCCTAGTCCAGGTAAAGCCAAGAGAAATTAATGGACTATTTATGTGTACCTCAGTACTGCTTGGTGATTCTTCAGTTATCTTTTGTTACATTCATCTCAAGTTTCCCAAAGTTGTTTTCCCAGATATTTTCAGGAGTATTTTAGGTTTTGCCCCAGATAATATTCTCTTTATCTCATTAGTTCACCTTAACTAAAATTCATTCAGTACTTTATAATGTACTGCTTACTTCACTAAGAAAATAGCTCTCCTTCATAACTCTCCTGCCACAGCATGCTGTGTTTTCCTCTTTTGACATCTTTGTCACAACTCCTTTTCTCAATTTTCCTTGAGCTGCATACCCATTATTCCATCTTCTCATAATACCTTGTTCCATTAATTATTCTCTATACCTTTACTTGGGCATTCCTTTCTCACCCCTCCTTGACCTGAAAATGTACCCAATGACCTGTTAGCTGAACAATATTTTAGCTTCTGTCTTCTCAGGGTTTACTTCGAATGCAGAGCTAACACTCCATACTGCTACTACTACTACTACAGTTTGCTAGTCACTACTTCCAGAGATGACGTCAGATCCTTAAGCTACTTCCTATATTTTCAGCACTTACTAATATTGGATGCTTCTTTGATACAGAAAAGCTTTTGCTGCTTTATTTTTATATGCATCACCCCACACTACCCCATCCACAAAAGTGGTGTCTCTACCCTTGGAGCTGTTTCCTCTGCATCCTTGGCATCAAGTGTTACCTCTGTATAAAATAGATTTCCAAAGAGCTCTGTCAATGCTGGTGTTATCACTTCAGAGCCATTTCCCAAAGGTTCCTAATGTTCATTGTCATCTGTTCTGTGTTTCAGAGTGAGTTCATCTTTGATGCCCACTCTTCTAGCTGTTTCTTTTGTCATCTGAATGTTAGTTTTTTCACTTGTTCAACATACCCTTGGAGACATAGGGTTTATCTGTTCTTCTTTGCTAAGCCCTTCTGAGGCCAAAAGAAAGCATTGGATCCCCTGGAGCTGGAGAGTTACTGCTGGTTGTGAGCTGTGTGGATGCTGGCAGCTGAATCTGGGTCTTCAGGAAGTGCAGTCTCATTTTGACTGCTGACTGTCTCTCTAGCCCCACAACGTGGCTTGTTACTCTTTGTCTTTGAATCAGTTTTCTTGACTTCCAGGCCACCCCATTCTCTTAATTTCATTTGTCAGTACCATCTGCTGATTTTACATTTCCATAATCTCTGACCTTTTGAATGTCGAATTATACTCATCCCCAAGATTATCTTGTATCTTTAAATATCATTATTGAACACATTTGCCACATTTCTTCAGTTCTGGGATCTTTTTAAAAGTTGATTTTAGATTTATTTTTATTTTCTGTGTATTAGGGTTTTGCTTGCATGTGTGTGACTGTGTGTCTTCATGCCTGGTATCTTTGGAGGTCAAAGAGGGTGTCAGATTTCCTGGAATTAGAGTTAAAGATGGTTGTGAGCCACTATGTTGTTGGGTTTGTTTGTTTGTTTGCCAGTTAGTTTGGTTTTTTAATTTTGTTTTTCTAAAACTTAAATAAATTTGTACTTTGTACAGTGGTATAAATTTATCTTTTCCCCCCGATTTTGGTGACACAGAATATAACGGCATGTGTGTCAATTGGTCTTTTAGGTCCAGACCCTTTTCCCCAGCACTGTGTTGTGTTTGTATCCATCATGTTGCTGGCCCAGTCTAGCAGTCCTCTTGAATGTCTAGTAAGCATTTCGGACTTCATCTGTCCAAATGTGAGACCTTAATCCTTGTCCTCCTAGTGGCTACTCTGTTTTTCCATTTGTTGGCCCGGAATCCTTAGAGAAACCCTGCTCTTCTTTTTCTCATAATGTATGTATGATTCATCAGCAGATTGCCTGGGCCCGTCCTTTCAAGGCCATTCAAAAAAAAAAAAAAAAAAAAAAAAAAGGTCTTTTTGAGTGACTGTTGACTTTTCCTTTATTTTCAAACCTGATTCTCCCTCCCAGAGTTGAAATGCATCTGTGTTTTAAAACCCAGTACAAATACCATCAATGGTAGTCTTATATAGAATTCATCTATGAAAATGTCTTCTCACTTCATTTTGTGTTTGTTAGCATGTATTAATGTGTTATGTATGTGGGTGTGTTTGGAGGCAGTTTAATAGAGAAAGGGTTTATTTTAGCTCACAGCTCAAGGTACTGTCTACTATGGCAGGGAAGTCAAGGCAGTGGGAGCTTGAAGCAGCTGCTCATATCACATCCACAATCAGGAAACAGGGATGAATGCAAACTATTGCTTAGCTTGCTTTCTCCATTTTATAATCCATGATCTTCTGCCTAGGGAATGGTCTTGGCATGGTTAAGATGGGTCTTTCTAGATACACAGTTAAGATGCGTCTTTCTAGATAAGTTAACATAATTAAGATAATACCTCACAGGCACACCCAGAGACCCATCTCACAGGTGATTCTAAGTCCTTTTAAGTTGATACCACTAACCATCACAGATGAATAAGTGTCTGAAAGCTCTGTAATGATTAACTTGGTTGCATCAAAGTGCTGATAATATTTCCTTCATTGGTTTAATATTGGATAAAACATTGCTTAAGATTATAGGTTTTGTTTAATTTTTAATTTTATAGATGCTCCTCCTCCAACATGGGAACAGCTAGAAAATGGCCTGGTTGCTGTACGTACAGTAGTACATGGACTGGTTGATTATATTCAGAACCACAGCAAAAAAGGAGCAGACCAACAACAGGTAAGGAGTTGCTGTTTGAAATCTGCAGATCAGCCACTCTGGGTATATCTAGAAACTGGTCAGTGTAGGTAGAGATACAGAGCGGAAAATAATGATATGAAATAATGATATGAATATTTTAAGACTGACTGTAGGGGCTGGAGAGAGGCTCAGTAGTTAAGAGTACTGGCTGCTTTTCCAGAGAACCCAGGTTCAAGTCCCAGTACCCACGTGGTGTTTCACAACCTCCTATCAGTCCAGTTCCAAGGTAATCAGATGTCCTGCTCTGGCCTCTGTGGGTACCAGGCATGCACTGGTACATAGACATACATGTAGGCAAAACACCCATACATATAAAATAATTTTTAAAATTGTTTTAAAAAAAGACTCTGACTGTAGAAATTGTAAGTTAGCCTGATTAGTAGTTAGTGTGTCGGTTTTGCTCAAGTAATTTTATCTGACACTAATTCTTATTGGTCGTTGTTCTGGGATCATTTCACATCAGATATAGAAACATTTGATGCATTAAAAATAGATTCTTTGGTAAAGCTTATTCCATTTAAAAATGCTTACTCTCTTCACTTCATATTACATTTCAGTTTGATAATGTCACTTTTTGGGTACCAATGCTGTATTACTAGTACTTATCATATATTTTAGATTTTTTTAATGTTAGTATTTTAAGGAATTTCATTAATAATGTTTATTACACTAGTGTGCCAAAGCATCTTCAAATTTTAAAGAGTATTTTTTACATTTATTTGTGTATGTGTTGGTAGTATACCCGTGGAGGAGGTGAGAGGACAACCTTGGGGGTCCTAAAGATCAAACTTGGCAGCATCACCCACTGAACCATCTTGCTGGCCCAGATTTTGTGGGTTTTGTTAGTAGACAGTTATATGTTACATGATCACTACACAAATGTTAGAAGGGTATACATTTTGGAAGTCTTTTTGGTCTTATTTTTGTGAGACAGGGGCTCACATATCCCACTGTTAATCTCACTGAATGAGTGTGAAGACCATTAACTAAATTCTTTGATCAAATTATGCAAGCTCTATTTTTTGTTAGCTTTATCTTCCTAAAGTGGGGTTTATATTAGCCCCTAAACTGCCAGACTAGGGGGGTTTCAGTTACATAGGAACTTGGCAGAACATCTCAAATATTATTTGGCAGAACATCTTATCAGGGTGGAGATCAGGGTATAGGGTGTGGAACCTGTCAAATTCCAGAAAATGAGTCAAGACCTGGTCAAACCCAAGTTTTACAGAAAATAGGAGTGAATTTATTTTGACCTTGTGACAAGATGGAATCAGGCTGGTCCATCGCTACCCTAGCTATGAGCTCATTGTATAGTTGAGAAAGACTTTGAACTCCTTGATATTCTTGCCTCTACCCCTAAATGCTGGGACTGCTGGTGTGTACCACTGTGTCTGGCATATACATTTTAAAGTCTTCAACTCTTTGGAAAGAGAACCTTGAAATTTATTGAGGAAAAAAATGTTTAATATTTTATGTATATGTATGTGTGTTTTTTCTGTGTATATTCGTGCACCATGTTTGAGCCTGGTGCCATAAGTCGGAAGAGGGCACTGGATCTCCTTGAACTCGAGTTACTGTGTGGGATCAGGAAACTGAACTGAACCCCAGTCCTCTACAAAGTGCTCTTAACCACTGAGTCATATCTAGCTCATTATTAATTTCTGATAACACATATATTTGAGAATATCAGCATGTTAGAAAAAAATGAGGACTTTAAAATGTTTTTCTTTTTCTTTGAGAAGTTTATACAGTGATGATCTTACCCATTCCCCAGACTCACCCACACCTCCAACTTATATCCTCTTTTTTAAAATTTAAATTTGATGGCCCATCAACTGCAATTTGTACTATCCATATACTTCTGAGTGTGAGGGCAGCTGCTGGAGCACGGTCAACATTCTTCAAGTCTTCCCTCCTTTGTAAGCCATCAGCTGTTCAAAGCTCCTTAGTTGGGCAGGGGTTCAGGAGCCTCGTCCCACTCCATACTACAGGCTTGACTGACTCTACCTTATGGAAGTGATCACAGCTGCTGGAGTTCATGAGTGCACTGGCCTTGCCATGTACAGTCTTTCTGCCAGACTTCTCATCCATGATGGTCTCTAAGCCCGTAACAGCACGCCATAGTCACCTATTCTCTGCACTGTGAGCAGTTGTGAGTTTCTGTGTTAACCTCATCCTCTGCACAGAGAAGCTTCTCTGATGCGGACTGAGAGCTGTACTGACCCCAGTTCAGGATTGCTCCAACCCTCCGGCTGTGTTGTCTTAGTAGAAGCACTTTTATTTTCAATGTGTATGGGTGTTTTGTCTGCATGTACATGTATGTGCTTGGTGCCTGTGGAGGCCAGAAGAGGGTGCCTAATTCCCTGGAACTGGAGTTCTAGATGGTAGCGAGCTGCCGTGTGGGCACTGGGAATTGAACCCAGGTCTTCTGGAAGAGCAGCCCTAACTCTGAGCTCCTATACTATTTTTAAATTTTAATTTTGGACCTGAAAAGATCTCTTATCTCAAAAGCTTTTAAGCACCTAAGTTCAACACCTGGAACACAGGTAAAAGTGTAAGGAAAGAACCAACCCCACAAAATTGTCCTCAGATTTCCAGTGGTGTCCCACCACCCCACAGTGCCCCCCACCCCATCCCCTGCATGTGCGTTCATGCGCGCACACACACACACACACACACACACACACACACACACACACAAATAATAATTAAAATTTAATTTTCAACTCTGTGATTTTCCCCTCCCCATACTTTTGCTCTGGATAGTAGATAAATGTGGGAATTAGCTTAAATTATTTCATGCTCTCAGAATTCTAAACTGTAAAACATAAAAATTACATTTGTTACTGTGTGATATTTTGATCTTGGTCTTAGCCTCCACAGCATAGCAAATACAAAACATACATGTGTCGAGACATGAAGCAGAGAGGAGGATGCCCTCGTGGGGCCAGCTGTACGTTTGCACACTCACAAGAAGAACTGGAAAAGTAAGTATGAGAATCATGGGATGCAGACTTTGGGATAAGGAATAATTTGTTGGCTTTAAGAAATACAAAAAGAATCACAGAATTCTCTTCAGTGCATAAGAAATCTTTATGAATTAAGTACATTTCTTAAAAGTTTTAAGTTTTTATTGCATTGTTTCTATGGGAAGCTATTTTATCATTAACTAGATATCAAAATGAGTCATTTCCACACAAAGTTTGAGTACTTTTTAACGATTTTAACTGATTTTTACTAATGGCTAAAAAATTTACTAATTTTAGTTGAAACATTTGCTTTTCATATAGATTTCGTAAAATGAACAAACGTCTGGTTCCCAGAAGACCCCTGAGTGCCTCTTTGGGTCAACTTAATGAGGTGGGCCTGCCTTCGGCACCTATACTTCCTGAAGAAGGTGCAGTGGATTTGTCCAGCAGGAAGCCGCCTGCACTACCAAATGGAATTGTATCGGCAGGGAGCACGGTGACACAGCTGGTTCCCCGTGGGACAGACCCCGGCTTTGACTCTAGTCTGAAGCCAGGAAAGCTAGACCACCTGAGCAGCAGTGCTCCTGGGTCTCCCCCTGACCTGTACGTATCACATTTCTTCCTTGTAAACTGAGTAGAGGGAAAAAAAAGTTTGGTTCTAAAGACAGTGCTTACTGGGTTTCGTTGTTTTTTCTTCTGTTTTGAGTCAAAGTCTGTCCTTTAACTCACTGCATAGCCAGAGATGACCTTGCAAATCTGATCTTCCTGCTCTCACTCCCAGACACTGGGATTGCAGGCATGCAGCGCTGCGCCCAGCTATGTTGTGCTGAGGATTGAACCTAACAACTGAGCTAAAGTCTGGCCCCCCAAAATAAATTGTTTGCCTTTGTACTTCTTTTTCCTGCACTAATGATTTTTTTTTAAGGGGGGTTATTTTTTTTTTACTTTGTAGGAGAGATTAACATTCAGATATATCAGTTTTCAAAGTACTGGCAGTCTTTTAATGTGAAACATTTAATGTACATTAAAAGTATAGTTTAGAGACTTTAAATTTGTCTTATATAATTTTGCTTCCTTAGGCTGGAATCTGCCCCTAAGAGTATTTCTGCCTTACCTGTGAATTCACATCCTGTACCTCCAAGGGGACCAACAGATCTGCCTCCCATGCCTGTCACCAAACCAATTCAGATGGTACCTCGAGGTTCTCAGTTATATCCAACACCACAAGCGGATGTTTATTATCAGGACCCTCGAGGAACTGCCCCAGCATTTGAGCCAGCACCTTATCATCAGGGTAATATCTTTCATTTAAGTCACCAAATTTATCATATAGGTAAAAAGGATCAAGTCTATCAATTTTATAGACTGGATTAGCATTTACTGAGCATGTAGACTGTGTAAAGCTGACCAAGAATGAAAAAAAAAAATGTAGTGGATGCAAACTAAATTTACAATATGGTTTCTGTCTTAGTTAGGGTTACTATTAATGCAACCAAACTCCATGACCAAAAAGCAAGTTGAGGAGGAAAGGATTTATTTGAGTTACACTTCCACATTGCTGTTCATCACTGAAGGAAGTCAGGACAAGAACTCAAACAGGGCAGGAACCTGGAGGCAGGAGCTGATGCAAAGGCCATGGAAGGGTACTGCTTACTGGCCTGCTCCCTATGGCTTCCTCAACCTGCTCTTCATTTAGAACCCAGGACCACCAGCCCAGAGATGGAACCACCCACAGTGGGCTGGGCCCTCCTCCATTGATCACTAATTGAGAAAATGCCTTATAGCCTCGTGTGGTGGTGCACACCTTTAATCCTAGCACTTGGGAGGAAGAGGCAGGTGGATCTCTGTGAGTTCGAGGCCAGCGTGGTCTACAAAGTATGTTCCAGGACAGCCAAGGCTATTATACAGAGAAACTTTGTCTTGAAAAACCAAAAAGAAAAAGAAAAGATAGAAAATGCCTTACAGCCAGATCTTGTGGAGGCATTTTCTCAATTAAGGTTCCCGCCTTTCAAATCCCTCTAGTTTATGTGTCAAGTTGACATAAGACTAGTCGTCACAGTATCCATATTGGCTTTGTAATACAAGTCTTTAGAGCTGCAGTTCTCAACCTGTGGGTTGTGACCCTTTGGCAACCTTCTATCTCAAAAAATATTTACATTACGATTCATAAATGGAGAAAATTACAGTTATGAAGTAGCAACAAAAATAATTTTATGATTTGGGGTCACACCATGAAGAACCTGTACCAAAGGGTCACAGCATTAGGAGGGTTGAGATCCACTGATCTAAAAGTTCTATAGTACAGAGTCAGCTTAATAGTAAAGACTAGTTCAATGTGTTGCTGCATGCCTTTGATCCCAGCACTCCTGAGGCAGAGGCAGAAAAGATAAAGGGGATGCTGATATTTCAAACTAAAGTGTTGATTGGTTCTGTCAGAGACAGGTTTAGCTTTGTTTTAATGGTAATAAAGTATCTTTCCTGTCCTCTTTTTCCTGTAGGCTTTCACCTTTAAGTCACATGTCACCTCTACATTCAAAACTAGTGAATTTTTATAGTTTTGTTATTGCTTATTTATTGGTAGGTTGGTTGGTTTTCTGAGACACGGTATGATTGCAGTGTGTATACCAGGCTTGCCTTGAACTTACTGTAGCCCAGACTGGCCTTGAATTCATGATCCTTCTGCCTCACCCTCCTAAGTGCCAATATTGCAGGCACCTAGCATAAGAATAGATTTTGATTGATATAACATGACTGTGGGAGCCAACTCCTACCTTTTCCAGGGTTCCTATGAGGAGGAGAGAGGGATAAGAAAATATTAGAAAGAAAGAGAGCCTAGTTGACGAGAAGAAAAACACAGGATAGCTTCAGGAGGACCTGGGTCAATACCCAACAGCCTTTTCCATTTATCCAAAAAAGCTTTTTATAGCAATGCCAAGGGGCAAAAGACCTCTCCCTTGTTAGATCAAAGCACACTGCACAGCCAAGTGCAGACCTTTCCACACACCTGGTAACCATGCTTGTGGTCAAATCATCCCATTATGCAGCTCTGCTGGGTAAAGCAAGCTCAGATTCTCGGACCCTGAGTATGTTCCACTAGGAAACCTTTGTGGGTCTCTACACATGACTGATACAGGTTATATATCTATATAAAAGGATCTGACTTGATTTTTATCTTCTGAAAAACTGTAACTGTTTTTGTTTTTTTGTTTTTTTTGGTTTTTCGAGACAGGGTTTCTCTGTGTAGCTTTGCTCCTCTCCTGGAACTCACTTGGTAGCCCAGGCTGGCCTCGAACTCACAGAGATCCGCCTGGCTCTGCCTCCCGAGTGCTGGGATTAAAGGCGTGCGCCACCACCGCCCGGCCTGTAACTGTTTTTGTTCAGGCAGCCAGTTTATAGCATTATACTTTATCAGGAAGGGTTCAGTTACAGAGAACAGAAATCTTTGTAGCTGTATTAAGCATAAAAAGGTTTAGTGGAGGAATGGGCTTCTTTCAAATTGGTGGAAGTACTAGGGAAGTGGGCTTAAACTAGGTCTTTAGAAAAGGAGTCCTAGAAAAGCACTACATGGCTGGTGTAGAGAGCAGAAGTAAAACCTTTGGTCTTAACTGGTGGTTCCAGGTGAAAGTCTACTGCCACAGTTGCTGTCTTAAGAATTCTAGAGCCAGAGGAGCCACTAGATGTATACAGCAAACTGGACCTTTTTAAAAACAATTATGGAGTGTTTGATGCAATGTGTTTGTACACACTTCTGTTGGTGCCTCCCCTTACCACCCTCCCATCCCTTCCTACCCAACTTTGAGGTTGCCTCTTTGTTGTTGTTTCTTTTCTTTCCCCATCAAGTTCAGGTTATGTTGCTCAGCTAATCTTGAGAGTGGGACTTGCTTGGTAGTAGTCAGCCTACCAGGGGTCACATCAATGAGGAGAACTGACTCTCCCTCTCAGCAGCTGCATGTCCACCTTCCCCTCTATGCAGGGACTGGCTGGAGCTTGTGTAGGTCTTGTGCATGCTGTATCATGAAAAGTGAACCTGTAGCACGTCACATCTAGCACATAATAGTTTTGAAGTTGAAACTCTACAATAGCAGAGCCTGCTAGAGCAGGAGTATAATTGTAGCTACTGAGGAGCCTGAGGCAGGAGGATCTCAAGTTTGAGGTATGCCTGGGCTACAAAGTGAGTTCAGTGCTGGTCTGAGCAACTTCAGAATACCATCTCAAAATGAAATATTTAAAAAGGAGCTAAGAATCTCGCTCAGTAATAAAGTGCTTGACCAGTATTCATGCAGTCTTGGATATAAAAGTCTACAGAGTTTGAGAAACTAAAGTAGACCCTGAGTGTCAAGGATGCTTATGAAAATTTTCCAGTGACTGTTGCATTAGGACAAACCAGAAGGAAGGGTCAATCTACTATTTTAGATTATATGTAGATTGATCTTTTCTATTGATTTTTAATAGTTATTTGTTATTTGGAAGAGGAAGTTTCTCTGGGATTGAATTCAGGGCCTTATGAGTTCCAAACAAACACTACCACTGAGCTGCACTCTTGGCCCTAAGGATAGTATTTGCTTGCTAATTTTCATAAAGCTAGCCTAAACTGTACAAGTATTGTGAAAGTTTATAAAGAAATAAGTAGGTCATAACACTTAGGCCTTTTAATGTTTTAAAAGGAAAAACAAAAGCTTATATAAAAAGCAGATGTGCTCACTATTGTTTTGGGTTCCTCTTTTATATTGTACAGGTATGTACTATACTCCACCACCATGTGTGTCCCGCTTTGTTCGACCTCCACCATCTGCTCCTGAACCTGGTCCTCCATACTTGGATCATTATTCACCCTACCTCCAAGATCGTGTTATAAACTCTCAGTATGGCACACAGCCACAACAATACCCACCTATGTACCCACCTCACTATGATGGCCGCCGTGTGTACCCTGCTCAATCTTATACAAGAGAGGAGATTTTCCGGGAAAGCCCTATACCTATTGAGATTCCATCTGCAGCAGTACCATCCTACATGCCTGAGTCCAGAGAACGATACCAACAGGTAGAGGGATACTATCCAGTGGCTCCTCATCCAGCTCAGATCAGACCTTCATACCCTAGGGTATGCTGTATTTTTTTACTTATTACATAGACTTAATTTATATTTATGAGGATTCTTACTTTGCTATGGTAATAACCTTTTTAATTGGCTCTCTTTATATGAAAACATGTATTTCTTATCTTTTCTAAAAAAAGATTTATTTATTTATTATGTATACAGTGTTCTGCTGCAGGCCAGAAAAAGGCACCAGATCTCATTATATATGGATGGTTGTGTGAGCCACCATGTGGGTGCTGGGAATTGAACTCCAAACCTCTTTAAGAGCAGCCAGTACTCTTAACCTCTGGCCATCTCTCCAGCCCCCCCGCCCCAAATCTATTTCTTAAATATTTCTTTAAACTTTTATTTTTTGTGTATGTATGTATGTATAATTGGTATATGTGTAAGAACACAGGTGCATGTGTGTCACTGCACACTTGGGTCAGAGGACAACTCTTGACAGTAAGTTCTTTCCACCTTGTTCAGTAGGTCTCTCTTGTTCTTGCTGCTGCTCAGCATACCCCAGGTTAGCTTGTCTATAAGCTTCCAGCTGATTCTTCCATCTGTTCCTCCCATATCACCATAGCGGACTGGGATTACATGTGTGCCCCGCCACATCTGACTCTCCTTAGAGGTTCTAGAGCTCAAACTTGGATTGTTAGGCGGTAACAGCCAGTGCTTTTACCTGTTGGTCCATCTCCCTGGTTCTGAAATGTGGTGTTATTTTAAAAAAAGCAAAAACATAATGGAAGCTTCACCAATCTAAACATTGGTGGTTTGTGTACTAAGTCTAGATCAGCTAGGAAAGTTAGAAGATCTTGAGAGTTTGCCTTGGCTTTCTTTTTCTTTCTTTTTTTTTTTTCTTTATTCTCTTTAGTGTTTATTTCTGGATGTTAAGATGCATATATATTCTCCTTCTGATTTAAATATATATGCTTAATTAATATGTGCTGGAATTCTTTGTCAACTTTAAATAATCTTTCGATTTTCAGGAGCCTCCTTATAGTCGGCTTCCTCCTCCCCAACCTCATCCTAGCCTGGATGAGCTACATCGCAGACGGAAGGAAATAATGGCCCAGCTTGAGGAAAGAAAGGTTATCTCTCCACCTCCTTTTGCGCCTTCACCAACATTGCCTCCCGCGTTCCATCAAGAAGAAGTAAGCATGTCATTTTTAGTCCTGTGTGTTAATTTTGCCATTATCATTTTTAATGGTAATGTAGCCTGTTTAAGAAATGAGAGCAGGGTGGTTGGTGGTGATGCACATCTTTAATACCAGGAGGCAGAGGCAGACAAATCTCTGAGTTTGAGGCCAACTTGGTCTACAGAGTGAGTTCCAGGATGACCAGGACTACACAGAAAAACCCTGTCTTTAAAAAAAGAAAGAAAGAAATTATCTGTTCACGAGGAGATGTTTGTCAAGTTTCAAAATTATGAGGCTATTTTTCTTTTTTCTTCCAGAGATTTGTTTCATTTTACATTTAGATCCATAACCCATTTAGAATTGAGTTATTATGTGAAATGTTAGAATCAGGGTCTATTTTCCCTCTGTAGGGATAGCTCATTGGCCCTACACCATTTAATGATTTGAGCATTGTTTTTTCAGTGTCTTGCAGTCAGCTTTGGCATGATTACTTTATTAGGGTAGGAATGATGGCACATATCTGTCATTCTGTCTAGCACAGCGGGATACCGAATCAGAAAGGTTATATGTTTGAGACCAGCCTGGTCTACATAGAAAGAGGCTCTGTCTCATTGATCTATTTCTGTTTATTCATTCATTTGGGGGTGAGATAATGTGTAAAGATGAGAGGATGGATTGTAGGAGTCAGTTCTTTGGTTCCAAGGATCCAGACTTGGGTTGTCAATGTGCATAACACATGCTTCACCTGAGCACTTGGCTGACCCCTCATTCTAATGATGGAGTTTTACTTAAGTCTCGACTTATTGACATAGGATTTTCAGTATTGAACTCAAAGTGAGGAAACATGTTAGGAGTTAGGGGGTTAGTTCAATATTAATGTCGTTTGACCAGCATGTGTGAGGCCTGAGGTTCAGTTCCCAGCACTTTTAAAGCAAAACAGAAACCCACAAAAGAATCAGCACGTTGATTTCCATAAAAATACCTGCTTCCGTTTTTGTTAGGATTTATTGACTCTCTAGATGGATTGATGCTGGCCAATATGGTAGTCACTAGCCACATGTGGTTGTTGAGTACATAATATGTGGCTGATTCAAATCCAGATATGATATGCTGTAAACATAAAACATATACTAAGTCTCTATAAACATAAAATATACACTGGATCTAAAGATTCAGTACCCAAAACTAAAATCTTAGGTTAATTTTGTTTTGTTTTGTTTTGCTTTTTGAGATTAGGTGACCTGAAACTAACTTACATATATAGACCAGGTTGGCCATAATTTACAGAGATTCACCTCCCTCTGTCTCCTGAGTGCTTGGATTAACAACATGACCAAACCTGGCCTTTGTTCATGTTTTTAATATCTTAGATATATAGATTAAATTAAATTTCACCAGGTTTTTTCCTTGTTTGCTTGCTTGCTGACTTGTGTTTGAAGATGGGGTCTTTTTTGGAGTTAGGTCAGTTTAGGCTGACCTCAAACTCACAGCAGTCCTGCTACAACTTACCAAGTGTTGGGATTACAGACCTTAGTGCTTCTTCTACTTTTCTAAGTATGGCTACTAGAAATTTTTAAATTACATATATGGACCACATTCTATTTCTGTTGGACAGTGTTGCTCTAGATCAGTATTCAAAGAAACTACACCTTTCTGGGTTTTTTTTTGGTTGGTTTGTTTTTTGTTGAATAAACAAAACAGGGTTTCTCTGTGTAGCTTTGGAACCTGTCCTGTAACTCACTTTGTAGAACACAGAGATTCACCTGCCTGTGCCTCCCAAGTGCTGGGATTAAAGACATGCGCCACCACTTCCCAGCCATATAACTGACTTTTAAAAACTACTTTAAATGTAATTCTTTTTGAAAATTCTCTTTTTAAACTATATTTACTTATTTGGGGGCTAGGGAGGCGTGTCTAGAGGTCAGAGAACAGTTGTTAGGAATCAGTCTTCTTCCTACTGTAGGTCCTGAGGCCCAAACTCAAGTCATCAGGCTTCTCGATAAGTGCCTTGACGTGCTGAGCCATCTTGCTAACCCTCAATTTCTGTTTTTTATTTTAAAAAAATAGACTTTAAGAGTATACACAGATCATACACAGTGAATAATTACATTTTTTAAAAGAATTAGATTTTTGTTTAGTGACTCTTCTATTCAACAGGTTTGCTAAATTTCCTTCTTAATTCTAGTATTTGTTGTGTCCTAGTGTATAATCACCTTTTTTTCCTTTTCAGAATTACATGTTTTCTTATCTTGTTGCTCTACAGTATGATGTTGAATTAAGAGTGGTAATAGGTATTCCTGACTCATTTTTAGTCTTTGTGTAGAGAAAGCAAAAAGTCTCTGTTTCTATTTCCATAATTTTTAAATAATTGAAACATAAATTAAGATGTATTTTAATTTGGCAGTAAACCAACAGGGTGATTAAAAACAATTAGGAGGGGCTGGAGAGATGGCTCAGAGGTTAAGAGCACTGGCTGTTCTTCCAGAGGTCCTGAGTTCAATTTCCAGCAACCACATGGTGCTCACAGCCATCTGTAATGAGATCTGGCTCCCTCTTCTGGCCTGAAGGGATATTCGCAAGCAGAACATAAATAAATAAATTAAAAAAAAAAAAACAAACAGGAAAAATGTGCAAATTAGGATAGACAGTAAAACTTAGGAGGGGATGCTTGGTTTATTTACCATAGTGCTACAGTTTTGAGCATTGCATTTAATGTTCCTATAAAATAGTGCTAATAGATTTGTTTGAATTTGGTTTTTTTGAAACAGAATCTCATACTGTAGCCTGGGTTCACCTTAAATTCACTTTGTAGAACAAGCTGGCCTCAAACTCAGGGTCTCCTGCCTCAGCTGGAGTGCTGGGATTACAGGCGTAACCAACTCTGCCCAGCAAAACATTGCTGATAGCTGTCACGAGTGTGTGTTGTCCTCATTTTTCCATTTCTGATACTAATAATTTTTTCATTGGTTAGTCTTGCTAGGAATTTATCAATTTTATGCCTTTTAATTAGACAATTTGAGTTGAACATGTAGTTCTATTGGTAGAGTATTTGCCTTGTGTGCACAGATCTCTGGGTTCAATCCATAACACCTTATAAATTGGGCAAAGAGGCAAGAGGATCAAAAGTTCTAGGTCATCCTTAGCTAGATAGCAAGTTTGAAGCCAGTCTGGGAGACATGAAACCTCGTCTCATACTTCATTCATAAGGAATATGTTGTCATACATAATGTATCTAATTAGAGTATCGATTTTTTTTCCAAGTCAAATAATATGTTTAAAGAATATGTTTTATACCAGACATGGTGGCGCATGCCTTTAATCCCAGCACTCAGGAGGCAGAGACGGTTGGATCTCTGAGTTCGAGGCCAGCCTGCTCTACAAAGGGACAGCTAGGGCTGTTACAAAGAGAAACCCTGTCTTGAAAAACAAACCAATAAAAAGAATATGTTTCGCATTCTTTATGTAGAATTATGAGTCTAAATAATATTGCTAACTGACAAACTATGTATAATAAACAATGAAAGTTGGAAAATGAAAGCTGAGTGTGGTGGTGCATGCCTGTAATCTCTCCACTCAGGAAGTTGGGGCAGGAGGATCACCATGAGTTCAAGGATGCTCTGAGCTACATATGGCAAGATTCCATTTAAAAAAAAAAATCAATAAAGTGAAGGTACTGTGCACAACAAATAGTAACTTTTTTAATGTGTAGAGGTAATCTCAAGTAGATGTTCATGGTAATCTCAAGTAGATGTCTCTCCAGAGTGCTAGGTTAATGGCGTGCATCATCATACTTGGCTTGCTCTATATTTAAACTTCCATTCTGATTATAAGCAGCCTACATATAGTTGTACTAAATTTATACATTACAGGAATGCATGATATAGAAAGAATACTTTCTTCAAACTCCCATTTCCTATAATGACTGACAGTTTTGTTACATATTTCAACTTTTCTATGTGCATGAACACATTTAGTGTTTGTTTGTGTGGATTTTTTTTTCTTTTGCTTAACTTGGATGTACATATTGATGTGCATTTATCTCATTCTTTGTAGCTGCATGATATATAACATTCAGGTGGAAGAGCATACTTGTTAGGTGGTAATATGTTCTAAAAGTTACCTGTTCTACATGAGAGAGTGTATATGAAAGGACTTTAAAAATGTTAAGTATTACAAAAGTATAAATGTTGTAATTTAATAAAAAAAATACATTGGCCTTGGAATGGGTATTGTTATTTGATAACTATAGCACTTCAGTCAAAAAGATAAAAATGAGGCATCTTACCCTTTTACTTAATTTAATCAACCCCAGGGCCAGAATGTATTCAAGACAGGGAACACGGCTGTTGAAGAACATCAGCAAAGCGTTGTTGCATCACCACCCACCTCATAGAGCATATGAGATGCTTAGAATGTTCTTGTTTACCTGAGATGTTACTAAGGCTCCTTGGGGACAATCTAGCAAATGTGTAGTATGGTATACACTTAAATGTTGACTGCATCTAAGATAGTGGGTAAAATGCTAACCAAACCTCTCAAGATCCTAGCTTGATTCACTGAAGGATATTGAAATACTTCCTTTTTTTCCCCTGCTAATAACAATTATGAAGGCTAAAATAATCTTCATATTTTTCAGTCTATAAAAATCTATTCTGACATTTAATAATCAAATAACTGTCATTATATTGCTTCAATTTGATGTTCTAAGAAGGTCCCTGCTTTCCCTGTTTTATTAATTCATAGACCCATTTCCTATTTTCTTTTTTTCCTCCTTTCCATCTATAGTTTTTGGATGAAGAATTCAAGGTAGCTGGGAAATACAAAGCAAATGATTATAGCCAATATTCTCCTTGGTCATGTGATACCATCGGCTCCTACATTGGAACCAAAGATGCAAAACCCAAAGATGTGGCAGCAGGGAGTGTGGAAATGATGGTATGTGTAATGGCTAAGCCATAATTAATGCAAATCTAGATGCATAAATTCTCATCTGTTGAAGGCTAGGGACAAATTTCATAATTTTGTTTCATTAAGTATAAATTATTTTATTATTCAACAAAGAAGAAGAGTATTGTATATCATTTTAGGAGGCAATTTCCCAGCAATTGTTCCCAAATAAACTCAAGTTAAATAATTTTTAGGTATTTAATCAAGATCCCAGATTTCAGGGTGGAGAGATGATTCCGTGGTTAAGAGATTGTATTGCTATTGCAGAGGACCTGAGTTTTGTTCCCAGCCCCCAAGTTGAGCAGTCTACAAACACCTGTAACTCCAGCTCCAGATGACCCAATACCCTCTGGGCTTTGTGGGCACCTGCACTCAGTGCACATACCCACACACAGATGTACAAAGACACATAATTAAAATAATTTGCCAGCCATGGTATTGTGATACTTTAATCTCAGCACCAGGCATCCAGAGGCTGGCAGTTCTCTGTGAGTTTAAGGCCAGCCTGGTCTACATAATTTTAGAACAGCCAGGGCTGTATAAAGAGACCCTATCTCAATCAATCAATAAATAAATAAAAATAATAATTTTTAAAAATATTTTAGGCCGGGCGGTGGTGGCATATGCCTTTAATCCCAGCACTCGGGAGGCAGAGGCAGGTGAATCTCTGTGAGTTCGAGGCCAGCCTGGTCTACAAAATGAGTTCCAGGACAGGCTCCAAAAGCTATACAGAGAAACCCTGTCTCAAAAAAACAAAAACAAAAATTTAGATTTATTCACCAAATGAATTAAAACTCTTTTTCCAAGTCTGTAGTTTAAACAACTAACTTGAATCAACTTGGGTCAAGAAAGTAAGGTTAAATTCTTTTCTCGGTTTAAAAACTTACTTTTCCTGCTATATGGGGATACTGCAAAAGCCTTGAGCTCACACATCACCATGACATGTATTCCTGTCACCATCATTATGTCTTTAAACAAAAAGACAGTGTCAGGTTTGAAGATTGTGGGAGTAAAATGACCAGTATACTTGAAGAGTCTGGAGCATTCCTTCCAAGGACCCCATAAATGTGAATGGCAGTGTGTAAGGTGCCCCAGCTTTATGACACTGAGAGATAGCCTGTGGTAGTGTCAGGCTGTAAGAGTGTTGGGGTTGATGTTTTAGAGTCTTGAAAGTTCAGTTGTTTTGAGTCCTCACTTCTCTGTAGTCCAGGCAGGCCTTGAACTTTGAATCTTCCTTAGTCGTTGAGATTACCAGCATGAGCTGCTATGCCCCAAGTTTCTCATTTCTATAAAAACTATTCTCACAGAAAAGGAATCTTTGTGAGGAATTTTCTAGGTAAAGGGGTCACCTTTAGCAGAATGTAACTTTCAAGGCCCAGTGGTTAAAGTGCTTGCCATACAAGCATGAGGACCTGAGTGTGGGTCCTCAGAACCCACATCAAAACCTGGGCATGGGCTGGAGAGATGGCTCAGAGGTTAAGAGCACCTGCTGCTCTTCCAGAGGTCCTGAGTTCAATTCCCAGCAACCACATGGTGGCTCACAACCATCTGTAATGAGATCTGGTGCCCTCTTCTGGCCTGCAGGTATACATGCAGGCAGAATACTGTAAACATAATAAATTTAAAAAACAAAACAAAACTGGGCATGATGGTGGGTGTCTGTCATCCTGGCACTGGGGAGCAGAGAAGATCCCAGGGGCTTGCTTGCTAGCCAATCCAACCAATCAGTAAGCTCCATGGTCAGTGAGAGACACTATCTTCAACAATCAGTTGGGGAAAAGTAGTAGAAATATTGACCTGAATATAGATCCCTCTCTGTTTGTAAAAAAATCTGAAAATCACATTGAGGGCAGGAGAGATGTCTCAGTGCTGTCCCCAGAACTCATACAATGGAAGGTGAAAACAAACTTGGGAAAATTGTCTTCTGGCATGCCCTCTGCACATGTACTATGGCATGAGGATATATGCATCTGCACAATAAATAAAATTTAAAAAATTAATGCTTTCTAAAAAGCATGTTAATTTTTCTTTTTTAGGAATATATACATAGTTGGGAATTCCTTAATTTATGCGTGAAAAGTACTTTTTATTTTTGGTTAAAGAGAAAATTGTAATTGAGTCAGAATAGTTGCTTGACTTATAGTTGTTGATGTGAGCCTATAAGATCCTCAAATTCATTGTATTTAGTTTTTTTGGATTTTTTTTTAATGAGAAATAATGTAGCTGTGTAGCTAATAAGTGAAGGTTTAATATATCTTATGTATCAGTATTTTACATATTAATTGCTCTTCCTCCCTTAATAGAAATAAAACATTGCAAAAGTAGTTAATCTCCCTGATTTCATTTTTTCTTTACTCCTCCCTGTCAGTAAATAGCCTCTTGCCCTGATTTTAATGCTTATTTTTTGACACATACACACACAGCCTTTTTCCTTTCTTTCTTTTTCTTTCTTTCTTTCTTTCTTTCTTTCTTTCTTTCTTTCTTTCTTTCTTTCTCTCTCTCTCTCTCTCTCTCTCTCTCTCTCTCTCTCTCTCTCTCTCTCTCTCTCTCACACACACACACACACACACACACACACACACACACACACACACACACACACTCGGTTTTCCTGTATTGCCCAGGATGATCATGCATAAAGTATTCCCGTGTCAGTCAGTGAGTAGCTGGGACTATAGGCAGGTGCCACTAAGCTCAACTGTTCCTTTTTTTCTTTTTGAGACAGAGCCTCACTGAATTTCCAGGTTGGCTTGGAACTCTTTGTACATAGCACAAGCTAATTTCATAATTTCAGACTGTGGTACTCTTGCCTTCCTAATAGCTATAATTACATATCTGTGCTATTGAATCTTTTACTGTTGTGGATAATTTTTAGCTTTTCATATTTTAAGAGACTTCTTTAGATTTATTTATGTTTTATGCATATGAGTGTTTTGCTCACGTGTATGTCAGTGTTTCACAAGTGTTCTGATGTCCTCAGAGGTCAAAGGACACTGGGTACCCTGGAACTAGAGTTAGGTGTGAATGTGAGCTGCCATGTGGTTGCTGGGATTCAGACTGAGGTCCTCTGCAAGAACAAGTGTTCTTAACTGCTAAGCTAGCTCTCCAGCCCCTTATATATAATGTAATGGACACTTTCTAGAGTCTCCTTGTGCACATCCATGAAAGTTATGCTTAGACATGGTATTCTTGGACAGATAACTCATGCCTATAATTCCAACACTTAAGAGACTGAGGCAGAAGGGTGGCAAGGTCAGAGTCAGCTGGAACTATATTTAAAAAAAAAAAGCTCGATGTGATGTTGCACACCTTTAATCCCAGAGATGGGTGAATCTCTGAGTCCAAGGCTAACTTGGTCTCCATAGTGAGTTCTAGTCTACCCAGGGTGACATTAGTGAGACCCTGTCTCCAAAAAAAAAAAAAAGAAGAAAAAAAAAAGTGTGGTATTGCTGGCTTGAAAGGTATCCCTTGACATCATTTTCCCTGTTAATTCTAAAATGGTTCCCTACTGATTTATATAGGTTTTCATAGATAATGTTTACCTAGCTGGCTAAGATAAAACCAATTGATGGCAGGCCAGAGAGAGAAAAAATAATGATAAAATAGAAAACAAACTGCAAGGGGACTGGAGAGTGACACAGCTAGGCCCTGGGCTCAGTCCCCAGCACCAAATGAGATGAAATTAAATTTAAGCATAACTTCTTTCTGTGGGCTATGACTAGCAAAATAGATGCTTCTGCACCACAGGAAGTCCTTCACTGGAATGCACTGAAGCAGAATCGTAATGTAAGGTGCTTTCCAGAGGACTATCACACTGAAGTAACATTAGCAAAGAAAAATGAATGTCCTTACATCAGTAAACAATAACAAAATTACTAACCCATGTAGATGCCATTAAAAGTTTTTCCAAATATGTGAAAGAAGTCATAACAGTGCTTCTCAAGCATTGATGTGTGGGCTAGGCATATAGCTTAGTGGTAAAGTACTTGCCTGACAAATGAATGTTTGTTCATAGTACTTAGAAATAGATGGATCTATCATTTTCTATCATCTTTCTGTACTTAAACATGTATTTCTTACTGTGATCTAAAAGCAATGTTCTATGACAGCCAAAGACAACTAAAGACTTATTCTTACTAATAAGAGCATCATACTCATATTAACCTCTCTACAGAGCTAGTGGGAATTATGCTAGATAGCATCTTATTTTTGCTTTTTGTCAGAATGTAGAAAGTAAAGGAATGAGAGACCAGAGATTGGATCTTCAGAGAAGAGCAGTGGAAACTAGTGATGATGACCTCATCCCATTTGGAGACCGACCAACAGTATCTCGGTTTGGTGCCATCTCTCGAACATCCAAAACACTGTATCAGGGTGCTGGCCCAATGCAGGCCATGGCACCTCAGGGAGCACCCACAAAACCTATTAGCATTTCAGGTAAGAATCCCAGACTAGTAGTCATGACTCTCAGTGTAATTCTGTCAGTGCTTTTAAGAATCTTCAAGACAATGGTTTTTAAACTTTTCCCTGTAAGAAAGCAATTACACTTCAGGGAATTTTAAGAATATAAACTAAAATTAACTTCCTATATATTAAGATTGCCTGAGGGGCTGGAGTATATATAGCTCGGTTGGTAAAGTGTGTGCCTAATATGTATGAAACCAGAATCACATAAACCAGGTGTTATGGCACATGCCAGTAATCTCAGCACTGGGGAGATTGAGACAAGGTATCAAAATGTTCAAGTTTATCCTTGGGTATATAGTGATTTTGAGGCTATTCTGGGCTAGAGGCCCTGTCTCAAAAAAAAAAAAAAATGCCTGTGGTTTTTATCTTTAAATTACTTCCTTACTTTATTAAAATAACAGATTCTTGGAGTGTGAGGAGGTGACTGAGTTTGGATCCCCAGTACCCATATAAAATCAGACTTGTGTGGGCATGTATCTATAATTCCAGTGCTTTAGGAAGGTAACCTGACACCAGCCGTCACCTCTACATTCCAACACTCATATGCACACACTGAGAAGAACATATGTGAAAACTAGATTCAGTGGGGGAAGAAACAACATGATTATCATTTTGGCAGATAACTTTCTAGACAGAGAGATATAAATACAGTGTGCCTTTGCTTTTTTGATTATAGAAGATATCTATATCTTATCATAGAAGATGAATCAAACTTGTGAATTACATCTTACCACCATAAACTGTTCCCTTACAGATTACAGTCCATATGGAGCTCATGGTGGCTGGGGAGATTCTCCATACTCGCCTCATCCAAACATACCTCCTCAGGGACACTTCATCGAGAGGTAAAAGTTGTTCTTTTTACTTGTTATAAATACTTAAAAGCATACAGCTTTCCTTACTTTATTTTTCTAGTCGGTAATGATTTCATCACAGAATAAAACTTCAAAATTTTACCTCGTGATTTCTTTCTTACCAAAGGGAGAAAATGTCCATGGCAGAAGTGGCCAGTCATGGAAAACCCCTTCTATCTGCTGAAAGAGAACAGCTACGGCTAGAGTTGCAGCAGCTGAACCATCAGATCAGCCAGCAGACCCAGCTCCGTGGACTAGAGGTACAGGCCTACAGATACTTTTGTGTTGGGAGTTTTGATGTCAAGGATCACTGTGCAGCCCTAGTGGCCTTAAACTCATGGTCTTCCTGTGTTGGCCGTCCTTAATTCTTAGAGTGATTACAGGGGTTCAGTACTGCAACTATTTGGTACCTCAGTTTTGAAGGGTTACCAAGAATTTTAAATTGAATTTATATGTGTTTGGTGGAGTGGTACGTGCATGTGAATACAGGTGCTAGAGCACCGGGCTTTTTGTTTGGTTTTTCAAGACAGGGTTTCTCTGTGTAACAGCCCTGGTGGTCCTGGAACTCACTTTGTAGACCAGGCTGGCCTCGAACTTAGAGAGATCCACCTGCCTCTGCCTTCTGAATGCTGGGATTAAAGGGGTGCGCTACCATATCCAGCAATGGCTAATATTCTTGCAGAGGATCTAAGTTTGGTTCCTGTTTCACAACTGCCTGTAGCTCCAGTTCCTGGGGATCCAGCACCCTTTTTGAGCATCCATAGGCACTTGCACACACACAGGTTTTTTAAAAAATAAAATGTGTCACCAGGTGGTGGTGGCACACGCCTTTAATCCCAGGAGTCGGGAGGCAGAGGCAGGTGGATCTCTGTGAGCTCAAGGCCAGCCTGGTCTATAGAGCAAGATCCAGGACAGGTACCAAAACTACACAGAAAAACCCTGTCTCAAAAAACCAATAAAATAAAATACATCTCTTAAAAATAAAGCCATTTTTATTCAAATGCTACTAAAAAGAGATTGTGTTTATAGTTGGATCATTTTTATTGCGAACATATGGCTAGTTTAGTGTGAATACTTGGGATGCAGCAATCTCTATATGGCATAAAGTGTGCTGAGTTGTGTGTGCTTGGCTTTGTGCACTAGGCTATTAATAACCGACTGGTGTTACAGAGGGAGGTGAACACCCTGGCAGGCCAGCCACAGCCCCCTCCACTGCCTCCAAAATGGCCTGGAATGATCTCAAGTGAGCAGCTAAGCTTGGAACTACATCAGGTGGAGAGGGAAATTGGCAAGAGAACCCGGGAACTGAGTATGGTACGTGCTGATGTCAGGGTGGGGTAGGGGGTGGGCAGCTGAAGTGAATTCTGTGTAACTCTAGAATTTAGAATCATTTGGAGTTTGTTCCAGATACCGTGAAGAATAACTAATACTTAGGGTGATTTTCATAAAGATGAGTTGTCACCTGGTTGTATCATTCCTCTCTTAGTTCCTGTTGTTTTGGGTTTGTCCTTTGCCATAGACTTGATTCTCTAGTCACATTTGGGGAAAACAAGGCAATTAATTGGAAATCTTAAAGTTTCTGTTTAACATACACATTAGAGAAGCAGATGAGATGATGTTTAATCTTTTGCACTTTTGTGTACTATTAAGATATATTTATAAACCGGGCGGCGGTGGCTCACACCTTTAATCCCAGCACTGGGAGGCAGAACCAGGCGAATCTTTATGAGTTCGAGGTCAGTCTAGTATACAGAGTGAGATCAGGACAGGCACTAAAACTACACAGAAAAACCCTGTCTTGAAAAAAAAAAAAAAATTTGTGTGTACACACACGCACACAAATGCTAGTTTTCGTGGCCTTTAAGGTATTGATGACCTAGTTTTATAAAGGAGTTATCGCTTATACACTGTTCTCTGTGGTGTTTTTCAATATTAGTTTATGGCATGTTTCTAAGATAGTGACAAGGTAGGTTGTACTGTTATGCTTTTGTGAATACTTTGTCACCTGCCTGTTTGTTTTTGTTGTTACTTCTTAATAAAACTTAAGAATGATTTGTTCTTTGATCATCACTGTGTTGTCTGTATCTGCACTATCCTGTTACACACAGGTTACTGACTTCATTCCTCTTCTTTTAAAGGAGAGCCAGTGTTCTTTGGACATGAAAAGCAAACTGGGTACAAGTAAGCAAGCAGAGAATGGACAGCCAGAGCCACACAACCAAGTCCCAGCTGAAGACCTTACGTTGACATTCAGGTAAAAGGATCCCTCTATAGTTCTATTAACCATATATGAAAGAGAATAGTTATATTATCTGGCCATACCCAAAGTACATTACGATTTTTAAAGACTATTTTTTTGTATAGTAAGAAAAGAATATGATTATATTGGTTTTTGAAGACAGGGTTTCTCTGTGTAGCCCTGGCTGTCTTGGAACTAACTTTATAGACCAGGCTGACCTCTACCTCACAGAGCTCCATCCTCCTGCCTCTGCCTCCTGAGTGCTGGGATTAAAGGTATGTGCCACGACCTCCCAGCAGAAGAGAATATGTTTTTACTGAATCTAGAAATTATAAAACTTAGCTCAGGAGTTGGGGTGGAATATAACTGTGGGCACTAGAGAGGTTGAGGTAGGAAGACAGTCATTTGAGGCTGGTCTGGGCTCCAAAGTGAGACTGTCTCACACATGCACATATAAAACTTAGCACTAACCAGGGTTGAATTATCTGTTAATTCCTAACAAATACGTTTTCTGGTTATATTTCCTTCTCGTTGTTTAAGTATAGCTTTTGAATTAAAAAACAAAATAGGAGAGATGGCTCAGAGGTTAAGAGCACCGACTGCTCTTCCAGAGGTCCTGAGTTCAATTCCCAGCAACCACATGGTGGCTCATAACCATCTGTAATGAGATCTGGTGCCCTCTTCTGGCCCGCAGGCATACATGCAGACAGAACACTGTATACGTAATAAATAAATAAATCTTTAAAAAAAAAAATACATATATATATATATATATATATATATATATATATATATATATATATATATAGGCTCACTGTAAAAATTGAAATGTAATAAATAAAAGCCCACCCATCCCCCACTTGGTTATTGTTTTTATCTTGTTTTCATACTGGGTGTTGAACTCAGAGCCTCAGAAATTCTAAGCACATTTCACCACTAGGCTCTATTCCAGGGTCTCCTCCTCCTCCATCTCAGTTATGTCACAACAAGTAAGCCATGAGTGATAGAATTTTTAACAGGTTACAAGTTTTTCAAAGCACCTGTAATTCTACCTCCCATCGTTATCTTGCCTGTCTTTTAATGGCATTTAGCAATTAATTAGCCTTGCTTAGTGTTGTGGGTAGATTTGGTTTTTGTTGGTCTTTTGAGACAAGGCAGGATCAAGGGTATGCACCACTATCTCTAGGCCATTCCTAGCCATGTCTTTAATTTGAGCTCTCATAACATGCTAATTAATTTACTTTTTATCCTTCTTTATTTTCTTTGGCATCTTTGAGGCATTTGAATGCATAGTCCTATGTCGCCCTCCTCATGACCTATAACATGAATTTCTAATGTTGCCAGATGTGGTGGCACATGCCTTTAATTCTGGCACTCACTGTGTGTTTGAGGCCAGCCTGCTCTACACAGTGAGTTCCAAGAGACCCAGGGCTGTGTAGAGACCCTGTCTCAAAAACAACAGCAACAAACACAAACACAAAGAATTTCTAATTGTCCTGTTGCTCTCTTCTGGGGTTTCAGCTGTTTTAAATCTATATGCTGTCCTAGGTTAAAAATAAATTCCCATAGGGAATGGGCTTGGTCCTGCCTCAACTGAGTGTACCAGGCTTAGCTGTCCCCCCATGGGAGAACTTACCTTGTTAGGGGAGGGCAGGGAAAGGGAGCCAGAGGAGCTTTAGTTTATCACAATATGCTACATTGTGGTAGAGGAATTATAATCAAAATTTGGAAGCTATTTCTAGTTTTTTTTGTTTGTATATTTGGGTTATTTGTTTGAGATGGAGTCGTTGTGTGGCCTGGTTGGCCTGGAACCAAACTAGCCTAAAGTTGGTAGAGATCGGCCTGATTCTGGCTCCTGCTTGGACTAAAGGCATGTGTAACCACTTGTGACTCAAATTTTTGGTACAATACTAAATGATAAGCCCTGTTGATTGGATTTTATTCAGAGTATTTTCTTTTCTCCTTTTAAAAATTCCAATTTTTTTCATGTAATTAATAGTGATGTACCGAATGGATCGGCTTTGACACAAGAGAATCTCAGCCTCCTATCAAACCAGACCAGCTCTTTGAACCTATCAGAAGACCCTGAGGGAGGAGGCCATAACAATGATTCCCAGAGATCAGGAGTTACTTCCAGTTCCGCTCCCTAGAACATGGGTGCCCTGCTTCTACCTTCTGCTCCTCATCAGCTCGTGGGACTTAGGATAGAAGAATGGACAACTTCTAACTTTTTCTCTGAGTGGTCAGTGAAATCCAGGAAGAGCACCGGAGGCAATGTGCACAACACCACTACTAAACAAACCCTGCACATAGTTCACATTAATGCATTTTTTTTAATTTAAAGAAAAAGAAAATTAGCAGTATCTGCAAGCAATTCAGATTAAATTTGTTTTTGTTCTGTGAATGAACTTTATTTTAATAACTTTGGACGCCTTGGATCCAGGGCTTAAAAAAAAAAAAAGAAGATATTATATATACACTCTGTTTGATTAATTGTATGATCTTAATGAAGTAGGTTTTTCTTGTATTTTGGTATTATTACATACCCAGTGTATAATTCTTTTATCCCAGTCCTTTCCAACTCTCACAACCCTGTAAACTAAAAGCACTGTTTCCAAGAATTCTGTGATATTAGATTGGGTTATTAGAAACTGTGCAGCAAACTAATTTTCTTAGAGCTATTCTTCAGCGCTCCCACACCCACACCCACCTATTTCTGGATCACTAGCTTCATGACTATTTGAGTAGGGTAGGGTTTTAGTTTCCACTTTGCAGAGATTTCAACAGGCAGTTGATTGTTAGAGCTACACAGTTCCATGTTAAGAAGTCCTTGCATTCTCTCCATAAAATCTGAAAGCCTGTTTGGTGTTTACATTGCTTCATTAAATTTGAATGTAGATTACCTTAAGAATGAACTCTAAACTGAACATGGTGGCTCATTCCTGTAATCCCAGGACTCAAGATGCTGAGGCAGGAGAAAACCAAAATAAAAAGAAGGAAAAAAAAAAGGAGCTTCAACTCAGTAGTGAAAACAGACAATTCCTGTTCTCCTGTGTTGAACTCACATTGGAAAATTGGAGCAGTGCTTATAAATTAAACTTCTATTGGAACCCTAGAATGCTCAAAAAAAAAATCAGGACAATGACCCATGTTCTAAAACTTGGAGAGATGGCTCAGCAGAGGATCACTGGCTGTTCTCCCAGAGGACCCAGGTTCTTCCCAGCACCCACAAGGTGGCTCACAACTGCCAGTAACTCTGGTTCCAAGGGATCTGACACTCTCTTCTGACCTTGTGGGCACCAGGCACACATGGGTCCATGTACATACACAAACATAAAATACATACAATGTTAAAATTAAACTTAACATTTGATATCAACTTCAATAAATGGAGACACATTATTTCAATGGAATTTTTGTTTTTCCATTCAAAAGCAAAAAAGATTTGGCAGATAAAAACTGAGTCTTGAAGATAGTTTATGTGTTGATTACTTGTGCTGCTCAGAATTACTAGCATAACTAACTTGAAATGGACTTTTAGACTTGGCTTTCTGACATTAAAAATGTTTATGAAAATGTTATGAAAGAGTAAGGAGGGATTTTTGCTTAGTTCTGCTGCACGTATTCTAATGCTACCACTGTATGCTTAATTTACTAAGCTCCTGTAAAATGAGTTCATTGGGGGACTATTTCATAGTCACTCTGTCCCTCTAATTGCCTGACATCCAGTTTCCCTTTCTAGATAATACTACTAAACAAGAAAGCACTGGTTATGTAATAAGTTACTGCATTGCTTTGGTTGGGTAAAAGCAAAAGTTTATATTTTTCTTATTTCTTATATTCTTACCCATTAACTCCTGCTGAGGTCAGAGCCACCTCAGTCTATGCTCTATGTCTGTCATGTTGTTAATGGAAACAAGTGGGTGGGGGTGGGGTGGGAAGGGTAAAATAGTCCTGCCATTGCCTACCAGTAGGAAATCCAAACAGAACACTCATTTGAGTAGCGATTATTTAATTTGCCCAGTCAAGGCACCGTGTTTATATACTATTTCACATTGAATTTGATTATGCCCTTACAGACCTGGCTGGTCAAGGATTTGATATACACATATTGGCTTGGGATTCGAGCTTTCTTTTTTATTTAAATAAAAATTTATATATATATTATATATATATATACATATATACATGGCTATATCTGTATATATATTGGGTATGTTTTAAAGATTTCTTCGCATGAGCGCAGCTGTTGCAATAAAATGACTGATTGGGAGGTAGAAGCACTGAATGACGGTGAGGCATTTTTCAGTTGATGCATACATTTTCCTTTTAATTTTAAATATACATTTGTACATTTGCTTTTTTGGCCTTTTTTTTTTTTTTAAGATAAAACATCTCTTACATTTATACTTTAGATACTTTAAATACTCATTATTTATTGAGAGAAGGAAAGAAATGTTATGTCTGACAGGATTTTTATTTTTCTGCACGTCTATAAAATGCCACATTATTGGCCTCTTGCCTTCAGTAGACAGATTTGGACAGATCTTATCTCCTTTGGACATGTCAGATAATTCCTAAGTCTTAGAAGCAAGTGGTTTGTTTTGGAAATTGGAATGACTGGGCGGGGGGGGTATCTTCCTATTGGTTTTGTTGGAGTTGAGAATAAAAGTGAATTTCCTTTGTGGTATGTGTGAAACCCCCAACATGCACTCTGCTGCGGTGCACTAGTATCTCTTCAGATGTTACTTTCATTTAGGGAGAAAATTGGTCTCTTAAATGATAGCCTAAGTTCCCCAAGCCCCAGTCTCTATAGCCAGTGGGTGGGGTCGAAATCGGAAGATGCTGTGCCTATAATTTTGCTGTTTTAGTAATTGGTCATTTTCCCTTACAGTTCTTAGGTGTGTTTTGTGTGTTGGGGGGGGGGCGTTGTTTGTGCCCACTGGCAGATTTAGGGAGTCAATAAAACCCCCAAGACTTTGAGGATGTTTTCTCCCTTTAACAAATCTTGTGTTATGAGGCAACAATAAATTGAAGCATAACTTCGTGACTCTTAACTGCTGTTTTTGTCAGAATCTGAAAAGCGTTGATTTTTATTTGTGTCTTTAGAGACATTAAAAAATGAACTCATCAAATTGAAAATAGAACTTTTACAGCAGCACCACCCCTTTTTGAGACAGAGTTTTACCATGTAGCCCAAGCTGGTTCTGAACTCAAGATCCTTCAGTCTCCTGAGCCCTGAGATTTCAGACATGTGCTACCATGCTTAGCAATATGTATGTTTTTTTACTTAAATGGTTTCTTCTGGAGATGACTATTTGCTTTTTACTGTATTTAAAAGCAAGAACCATCTAAGATGAACATGGACAATTCTGGAAGGGTTAAGGAGCATTATACTTGTTCAGAAACAAAGCCAGTGTGTTATTGTAGTGAATATATAAAAGTACTTTGCTTCATTCTGTTTTCAGTGAGTCTCTGGAAAATGATTAAAGAACTGAGAATGAAATATCTGGACTCACTTTCCTAATTATAGTCCCAAGATTAGTCTAATAGCTCCCCTCACCCGGATAACTTACAGAGTCTGATGTGACCAAAGAGCCATCCTTACTACTTTTCTAATTAAACAGAACTTGTAGCATAGGTTTCTGGTAGTAATGTTCAAGTGACAAGACACTATTATTAATATCAATTACAAATATTCAACTACTCAGAATGTGTAAGAACTCGTTTGGTATGGCATTAATGTGGGTTATTCCCTTCTCTCATCTTCCTTCCCTTCTGTTGTTTTTTTCTCCATGTATTTATTCTTTTGCCTAAAAGCAGAAGATTGATGTGATTCTTACTTGCTACTTGGATACATGATCCCATCAGACTCCCATGAGCTTCGATGTGGAAGCTTGAAATTTAGTTCCTAAGTTTCCCATGATTATCTTTTTTCTTTTCTTCCTGACCCCTTGCCATTCTGCAGTTTCCCCTTGACTTACCCAATCTGTAACAGTGACAGTTTGCTGCCTCTAAACAGAGCATTCAAATGAATTCGCTTAGCCAATGACTTCTGTGAAGTTGCCTTTTCTAATGGCGTTATTACTCAGTGATGCACAGATGTGGTATTTGCCCTACTGGCAGGCAAGCAAAGGTCTGGTAAAGAATGATAACCTGCTATTTCTTTAAGGAGCGCCAAAGACTTGTGCTTTACTCTGTTTTGGTTTTAGGGGAAATAGTAGCCATTTTGATTATGAAACCTGGTAGTATTTGTAAGTTGATTGTACTGCGTAGTTGTCTAAAGTTAACTGTAAGGTTAGCTGGCCTTATAAAATGTAAAAGTAATGAAAATTCATCAGTTTCTCTAGACCAGTAAATATCATCCTTGACAATATTTGTTTAAGCAACTCACTTTCCCTTTTGGGGATTATCTTGATGTAATAGCATCTTCTGTGTTTCTCTGTGCTTTCACTTGTGCCTACAGGACAATGTACTTTCACTATGGTCAAGTCATGGGCCTAGGGATTTTTCCTGAGCTTGAGGCTTGTGAGACATAATTAACTGTAGTTAATACCTGTTCAGCTGTGTTCAGGGACAGCTTACTTTCACTAAATGAGATTCGTGTGCTATTATTTATATGCACAAATGGTGATAGAATGAAATTTCACCATATTCTCCATTTGGGCTTTTAAAAATCAAGTAAAGTTCAATATGTAAAATCTTGGTGTAAAAAATCATCTGTAATGATTTATATTTTATTAAAAGATATGGCCTAATTAGTTTTAAGGAGGAGTCAATGACCTTGCAAATAAACTGCAGTATTACACACTATTACATTCTTGCCCTATAAAAGGTTCAAGTGTGTTAAAATCTTAATTGTTAATACATGTTTATAGTGTTGCAAAGGGATCTCATCCCCTGAAAATAGAGCTCAGATTAACCGACTTCACTGAGACAATTTAGTCTCCACCATGGAGTTGAACACAGCAGGAGTCTACTACTGTCACCATTTTATCTGCATGCTTGTTTTGCAGAAACACGTCCATGTCTCCCTTGGACACTTAAGGCTTTTATATTTATTTCTTCAGCTCAGCTTTTTAAAATTAACTGCTGAAATGACTTGCTGGGAGTTTTTGGTAAATTTTAAGTTCTCATTCAGCTTTTCTGAGCCTCTTCAGAGAGAGCTGGTTTGGGGTTTTTGTTTGTTTTTTTCAAAAGGTAAAATTTCAAATAAAACCTTTTTGTTACTTGAAATTTTAAGATTCTATTTCTGTAATTGCTAACGGTGTTTTCCTAAATAACATATTCTAATTGATTAGTAATAGTAGTTACATTAATAAAGAAGAGGGAACTGCCAGCCTCGGAGTACCTTCTACTAGGTCTGTTCTCACTGGGCAGGTGTTCAGTGCTACACTGAATCAAGTGGGAAAGCGCTCTGGGAACCCCACTGTGATAAAGGGACCTCCCTTAGCACTGGGATTGTTCTTTGAGCCTCTGGTTCCAGACACTGAATTTCTCTGAACTTAGCCTTGAGCAAAATAACTTTCATTTTCAAAAGAAAGTAAGCCAAGGTGGAAATCTTAAACCTTAAGACAATACTGCGTCAGAAAAAAATGTGTATTTAGAAAAATGAAATCCTGTGGAGTTTGTTATCTTGGTGTATGTTATTTAGTAGATAAGATGACTTTTTATTTTGTATTGAAGACTCACTTTCTGGTGACTCTTTATTTGGTTTTGTTTTGTCTTTTAATGCTGAGTAGACAGATCACAAGTCTTTGGCTCCTGTGTTAGGGTGTGAGTGCACACAGAGTCATCTGATAACTGGAAACTGTCAGGTGGTCCCACTCCAATGAGGGCGTGAAAGGTCGAGAAATGGATGCAAACAAATACTGGGTGGATAATGGTCTGGGGTTTTTGTTTGTTTTCCTTTTAACAATTGTCACTTCTATAATTTATTGGTATAGCCTGTCTGTTGGTTGGCTGGCATTTCACAGTCATATCCAAACACCCCATTGTAGTGGGAACAGGTACCCACTACACCCCATAAAATTTTATTTCTCGCCGGGCGGTGGTGGCGCACGCCTTTAATCCCAGCACTCGGGAGGCAGAGCCAGGCGGATCTCTGTGAGTTCGAGGCCAGCCTGGATTACCAAGTGAGTTCCAGGAAAGGCGCAAAGCTACACAGAGAAACCCTGTCTCGAAAAACCAAAAAAAAAAAAAAAAAAAAAAAAAAAAAAAAATTTTATTTCTCTACTGACAGGCCTTTGCTCTTCAGCTCTACATTCCCTATTTAGCCAATATAGTCCTGAGAGATTGTCCCCCATACGTATTTTTGCCACTTTCCACTCTTTGTCTTCCCACCGTGTGGATGTCAAAGAACTGAAAGAGAAAATTGCATTCGCTGGTCACGGGCCTCAGTAACCTACTCTATGACTTTGCAGAGTAATGTAGACAGTGAGCAGGTTCTGAACAGACCTTTTACCCACCTAAACGTTTTCCAGTTGTGAGGTTCTCTTGGTGTGTGCCTTCCCTTCTACCCCCGCCGCCCTTCCCTGACTTTGGTCAGTTGGTCTCTTGGCTCATACCAGTCTCCTGAGACATTCTGCAGTCATTATCACCTTTTTGGGTGGATTTTACTTCGTTCTTTTGTTTTGTTTTTAAAAAATGACTTTAACATTGATTCATATTTGCTTGGGATAGAGCTTGTGTAATTTACCAATCGTATTGATTGTATGTGATTTTGCCCTGCAGACGTATACTTAACAAAAGTAATCTAAGTTAGTAAAGGAGCCCATGAGATTGGAGTCAGAATAGAAATGACTTTATGGATTTGCAGTTTTGGATAGTGTGAATTCCCATCTCAGAATCAGTACCACATCAATACCCATTTTTAAAGGTTTTCTTACATTCCTATGTTTTCCCATTGCCTCAGTTCCCTATTCTTTGCATGTCATTCTCTACCCACCTGCTCAGAACTGTTTTTAATTGAGCCTTAAAGTAACAGCTGACTTTTAAATTAATGAAGTTTGTGAAATTTTATGTTTTCCAAATGTTTCCAATTTAGAGAGAGCAAAGGATGGGGTTGAAACTCACCAACCCGTGACTACTTAGCATCTGGCCAACCTGAGATTTTATTTGGAGCATTATCTTCTGCAAGTTCTTTTTGAATAGGGGGGAAAAAAAAGCCTTGCTTGAAATGGAACATTCCCTTTCGTGTTTAATCTGTTTAATATTTCCATTTCTTTTAAACAGCCTTCAAAACAATGAGGTGGAAGAAAAGAATAGGAGTGTGTTTAGGGCTACAGAACTCTGGGTCTGAATGAGTACATGTTCCACTTGTTGCATATTTTTGAGAAGATTAAGGCCTTCTTTCTCAATTTTGTATTTGTGTGCATGTTGTTTCTATTAAAGATGCCACATTTTGTTAAAATGCTATTTCCTTTATTACTTTGGGAACTGACTCAGCCTCTCATTGCTCCTAACTAGGGTTTAAGGCTCTTGTGAGTTGCAGATAAAAGGATTCATTTTAACAAATAGAAGGAGGTGATTCACCTTTGGATTGTAAATATATGAAAGTGTCTACAAGGTCTTTATCTGCTTTCTGTCGGCATTTATATTAAATGATAATTAATGAGGAGGAACAATGTGTAGTCTTTTTCTTGTAAAGGAGTCTGTCATCTTACTCTCTTCCTGGGGACTGTTGATGAAAATTTTAAAAAGCTAATTTGTGCAGGTACAAATACTGGGAGTCACTAGTTTCTCTAACGTGGAAATTAGTGTACACTTCGGTGTGCTGTGGCTCTGAGATTGTGAGGGCCAGCACTCAGTAAGCTGTCACGGCTTGAGTTTATGGCTTCTCATCAAGCCAAGAGCATCTTTCTGCCGAAGCAAAATGGTCTTCCTCAGACAAAACACCTGTCTGTCTATTTACTGACTCCCAATTATGCTGAAGCCTTGTTGGTCACTTCTGGCAGGGAACAGACCTAAGTTATATTGTCTCTTCTAGGCCATGCATTAGTTAACAGTTTATGGCATGAAGGGAGGTGACTGGCTGGAGGAGATGACTCAGTAGTTGAAAGTGCTAGCTGCTTTCCCAGAGGACCAGGATTTCGTTCCTAGCACTCCCATCAGGCAGCTCTGGACTACCTCTAGTTCCAGTTCCAGGGATCCAGCACTGCTCCCTCTCCTCGGGTGCACACACACATATTTAAGGTCTAGAATGAGGAAATGAGTTATTACACATTTCAAAACATGGATGAAATCAATGTAGTAGATTCTGACATTTAACAGATACATTTATATAATTAAGAATGTTCATGTGTTGGATATTAGATGGTAAAACCAAAGGGATCTTTTTGTTCAGTTGATAGTAATACCACAGTTACGTAAGACAATGCCTTTTAAAGGTTTGTTTGTTTTTATGTGTACCGGTGTTTTGCTTATATGTATGTCTGTATACCATATGCACAGGGAGTGCCTGTGGAGGCCAAAGAAGGCACCAGATTTCCTGGAATTTGAGTTACAGACAGTTGTGAGCCACTATGAGTGCTGAGACTAGAACCTGGGTCCTCTGGATGAATGGCATGTGCTCTTAACCGCTGAGCTGTCTTTCCAGCCCCATATTTTTTAAGATGCATAAATTGATCATGTTTGGAATTTACTTTAAAATACTTCCTAATGAAATTAATAGGCATTGCCAGCAATGGAGGTGTTGTAATACCTCCTGTCAACAAATTACTCAATTTGGGGACCACCGCTATTGGACCCCAACAGGAAGGAGCCATAGTAAAGGGAGTTCAGAAGGTATGAGATGGTAAGTGCTGGAGCCATCCTTGAAGATGATGAAATCTAGAGAGGAAAGTCTAAAACCAGACCTGTCTGCCCTGCTTATAAAAGTCACTGTCTGACCTATTGGGCTGAAACTCACATAGACTAAAGGGAATTGGTCTTGTGTGCATAAATGTTTTATCCCTGGGACTAGCTAATCTGAGATGGTCAGCTAGTTCAATCGTGCTTTCCAACCTGGTTGGCTATTAAAAAAAATGCATACCAACCTCTTTTTGTTTTGAACACTTAACATTTAAGAAATAGGTGCTGGGCTGGCTCAGAGGTTAAGAGCACTGGCTGCTCTTCCAGAGGTCCTGAGTTCAGTTCCCAGCAACTACATGGTGGCTCACAACCATCTGTAATGAGACCCAGTGCCCTCTTCTGGGATGCAGGCAGAACACTGTGTACATAATAAATAAATCTTTTTTAAAAAAGAAAGAAAGAGAGAGAGAGAGAGAGAGAGAGAGAGAGAGAGAGAGAGAGAGAGAGAGAGAGAGAGAGAGAGGAGGAGAGAGAGAGAAAGAAAGAAAAAGAAAGAAAGAAAGAAAGAAAGAAAGAAAGAAAGAAAGAAAGAAAGAAAGAAAAGAAATAGGTGCTAGGCAGTGGTGACACACGCCTTTAATCCCAGCGCTCAAGAGACAAGCAGGCAGATCTCTGAGTTCATGGCCAGCCTGGTCTACATAGCAAGTTCCAGGACAGCCAAGACTACATAGAGAGACTCTGTTTCCCTGCCCCTTCCCCAAACAAGTAGGCTGGAGATGGTGGCATATGCCCACAAATGAAGCACCCCAGAGACAAGATTTGGAAGCCAATTAACATTCCATAGTTAAATTCCAGGTGAGGCTGGGCTACACTCTGTCTCAAAACAAAAAGTGAATTTACCAACTACTAAACTATTCCTATAGTTTATTATGCTTTAACAAAATGGCAGACAAGAAAAGTGCCATCTGCTCTCAATGAGCTCTGATAACAGAACTTGACACAGGCTTTTTAAATAGCTTCAGCTTGCTGGGTATGATGGTACACACCTTTATTCCCAGCTGTTAGGAGGCAGAGGCAGGTGAGTCTCAAGGGCAGCCTGGTCTACATAGAGAGTTCAATGCCAGGCCAGCCAGAGCTACATAGAGTTTGATTCAATAAAATAACGACAACAGTAAACAGAATTATCAAAGAATGGCAACTATCTTCAGAACAAGAAGCTGTGAGACTAAACAAGACTTAACTTCATTGTACAAGGCCCTAGGTTTGAATCCTAGCACAATCCCAAAAGACAAAACCCAAAAATTGTAATAATAATTTACACAGCGTGGCTGGTGAAGATTTCCTGAGGAAACTGCAGTCAAGGTGAGGTGTGGAGCATGGAGAGGGGAATGGATGTTAGAGATGCAGATTCCCAGTAAGAGAAAAGTAAGGTATGTGAATTCTGAGGGAACAGGCTGAATTGAAACGGGGACAGTCATAATTCTGAGAGGGCGGCTGGAGAGCAGACCATGCCAAAGTGTGGTGGCACTAGTCTACAATTCCAAGTTAGTGCTTGGGAAGATCAAGTTCAAGGCCAGCCAGCTTTAGCTACATGGCAAGTTCGAGAGCCTGAGCTATATGGGACCTGTCTCAAAACAAAATATAGCCGGGCAGTGGTGGCCCATGCCTTTAATCCCAGCACTCGGGGGGGAGGTGGGGGGGTGCAGAGCCAGGCGGATCTCTGTGAGTTGGAGGCCAGCCTAGGCTACAGAGTGAGTTCCAGGAAAGGTGCAAAGCTACACAGAGAAACCCTGTCTCGAAAAACCAAAAATAAAAATAAAAAATAAAATCAAAACAAAAAATAAAATGGGCTTGTTCTGAAAGTAAAGAAAATGAAAGCAGAGGGTAAAATGCGGGGAATAAAAGATCTAGATTTGTGCCTCTTTATTCACCATTACTGAACAAACTATGCATGTCTCTCACACATGCACGGTATTCACTGTGGCCTGGTTCAGTCCCTTTCAGCTGGTCTCAGGTGGGGAACATGGTCACAGATGATGACCAAGAATATGCTTGTGTAAGGCTCACCATGACAGGTAATTTTAGAACCATCCTATTCTGGCTATCAGAGACGTAAATTTTAGTGAAATGGTGAGGTGTAAGACATAATCAAGATTATGTCTACCTGAAGACTTTAAGGGGAAGCGGGGGGCTGGGTTTACATTTTTTTTTTTTTTTTTGGTTTTTCGAGACAGGGTTTCTCTGTGTAGCTTTGCGCCTTTCCTGGGACTCACTTGGTAGCCCAGGCTGGCCTCGAACTCACAGCGATCCGCCTGGCTCTGCCTCCCGAGTGCTGGGTTTACATCTTAAGAAAGGGATAAATGGGAAAAGCAAAGGGCCAGGTAGCACATAAGTGGATGCACCAAGGAATGAGTCTCGCTTAGGTTTTCAGGAGTTTAGGTAGTTTTGTTTGTTGTTTGTTGTGGGTCTTTTTTTTTTTTTTTAAGATTTATTGTACATGTACGTGTGTGTGCCTGGTGCCTATGGAAGTCAAGAAGGTGTTGAATACCCTGGAACTGGAGTTACGGATGGTTGTGAACCACCATGTGGATGCTGGAAATGAAACCTGAATTCCATTCAAGAACAAGTGGAGCTAACTACTGAGCCAGCTCTCTACCCAGAGCTGAGCACAGTTTCAAGAGGTTGGATTAAAATTATTGAGTCATTTGAGTTTTGTCCTTGAACAATTAAATACCAATCCAGATGTCAAGCTGGGGCTTGATGTGATTAACCTGTTTAAAGTGAGGCACGGTTCCCAGTTGTAAATAATTTACAAGGAGGGAAGGCCTGAACCAGCACAGAGGGATGAAGTGGGAGGAAAGCGTTTGAGAGACTGGCAGATCTGCGTGGAAACTTGAAGACAGATGGCATGTTACAAGCAGATCACTTTCGTGACATCGAAGCCCTTTGAAATAGTTGCAGGGAAAACCTATAGCTATCTCAGTCTGTCATACTCCAAAACCTCCCAAGTCCAGTTAAACCCTGAGGGTGCCCCTCTTGTACCCCTTTGTCTCTACACATGCCTGTCAAATGTCTACTAGACCTTTCACTCCCTGGATAGTTAGGATGTACCTAGACTCAAGGCATGTCTGCTCCCCCACAGTGAGAGGGCCTCTTTTTTTTTTTTAATCTGAGTTTTTTTTGCTTTGTTTGCATACATGTGAACCACATGCATGCAGTGCCCAGTGAAGCCAAAAGAAGGCATCAGATCCTCTGGAAGTGGAGTTAGAGAGCCGTGAGCTGCCATGTAGGCACTGGGAATTGAACCTGGATCCTCTGGAAGAGTAGTCAGTGGTCTTAACTGCTGAGCCATTCTAGCCCTGGGCCTCAGATCTTTAACTGAGTTCTAATAGGATCCAAGCTGCCACGATGCATTCCTTCACATACCCTCAGGTCCTGCTTGTCCCTTAGATGAACTTGGTGAGATTTTCTAGAGCACGGCATGGAAGACGGTGCCTAAGAGAGTCCTGGAACTGGTCTGCAGTCAGCACAGGACACCAGCCCCAGCTTTACCGTGTTTCTTCCTGCTGTTTCCAGGGCAGAGTAGATCACCCAGTGTCTCTGGAGACTTTCTTTCACTCCCACTACCTTTGTGCTCTGCTTTTCCTCTTCTCTGTGGTTTCTCTTACTACCTACAACTCTGAACTAATGTGCATGCAGTGACCTTTGACCCCAGGCAACTCTCTTGTGCAACCTCCCAACCTTGCTTAGTACTCCCGTCCTGAAGGAGTGGTAAAGCCTCTTAAAAAAAAAAAAAAAGAAAGAAAGAAAGAAAGAAAAAGGAAAAAAGTCTTGA